TTACAAGATACCGTATTTTTTTCTCTTCCCTTCCCTATTTGAAGTTTTTCTGTAATGAAATAGTCACACATTTCTCATCGCTATCCTTATTGTATTTTAAAATTTTAATAATCAATAAAATAATCAATTCTAAACGTAATTCTTTAATACAGAACTGATAATACAGTAGAGCGTCGATTTTCCGAATCAATTGGGGACTGGGGTTGTTCGTATAACTGATATTTCGGATAACCGATTTATGTACGAAAAAATAGTTTAACGTATCCGATGTTGAAATTTTTATCCGTTGCGTGTTGCTTCACGTTGAATTTTTGTCGATGTTAAGCCTAACAAAGACTATTGTATCGTTAAAAATTATTTTTTTATTTTGTACAAACAAAATAAATTTATTGAAAAATATAAAAACAATAANATGTCTGAATAATTAAGGTAAGAGCACTCTTGGTTGGACACAGCGGATGGAATTGCATTGGTATGCCTACAACTACTCGGATTGCAGTGAAAAATTGGTTCTTTCCTTTGCTCTAAATTTTGCTCAAAGTATTCAGACGAGGTATTTATCGGTATTAAAAACGTCCAAGAAGAAATAATCGGCAGTTCATTACCACTTAATTAATTTTAAAAAAATTTGTAAATTACATAATTCTTCGTAGTTTTGCAATAGAGAAATTAAAATCGAATCTGCCGGCCCACAATGGAGCGACCGGATGAGGGACAAGGCCCAACATATCCGGAATGGATCTCCTATAAAATTACTAAGGTTTTTCGACTGCCCATATTCGATCCAGAATCCTTTATAGGTAGACTGACGCCTTAACCGCCTCAGCCATAGAGCCGGCAGTCAACTTGATTAAACAAACTAATAGGTTGTCGATAATACCACTTGCCAATCGATAAAGCGATCTCTAAGAAACAAAATGAATCGAAATTGATGACGTAAAATATAGCCGAACAACCAATATTGGTTAGCTGCACGAAAACTCTCCTAAAAAGAATGGTTATGACGTGAATAGATCAACATGACGGATAAAGACTACACGAAACGTCGTCGCTGACAATTAAACGTTAACATTGTCAAATTAAGAGAAGCTTTAGACATTAGAGACATCTAAAATTCGAAAAACATTCACAGAGAAAAAATCGGGAATAAAATATGATCCGCAAATTATTTGCTATCGACCATACTATAATCCATTTTGGAATTATGTCATTCAGGGCACTAATAGATGTTATTCGAATTTCCTTTTCCATAAAAGAAAGTAATCACTTGTTAAATATAAAAGTTTGCATTTATTAAACTACATTTTAATTTTACATTAAACTACATTTTAATGAATAGAAAGTTAGGTTTACTCTTAAAATAATAATTATTATTTTCTGGCCCATCATGATAGGGGATTGATTATCTAACAAAAAAAATCGTCCATTACTGACAATTGTGGAATTAAAAATTCGAATAAGCATGCCAACTGCGAACTGCACACAATGTTAAATAAAGTTCTTTTCACATCAACATTTTCTTATCCTAATTTACAAAATTTACACACAATATAAATCCAAAAGTAAACCGAACTTTTGATAAAACTTTACTTATTAACCCGTGTTAATAGTATTTTATAAAATACCACCTTCAAAGGAAATATCTGATGTAGCTACGCACTTTGCTTTCCCCATACATTTTTTGACATCTTTAAACACACTAACTGCTTTCATCAGCGAATATCTAACCAAGAATGACTTAACAGTGCTTTTCCAATTTCCATTCATATGCTCCACTGTTTTAGTATCAGATAAAACTATTTGTTTATTTCTGTCTGTTTCGCTGCCGTCGTCGGAATCAGACCTAGATTTAAATATCAAAGATACAAGTTTCCATATATATCAAATAGCGACGGAAAGCTTACGTTGCATATTTGATCCAACCGCACGTTACAGTCTAAGAGATTGACATGCAATATATTTCCGCATGGTATAACTTCGAACATGCCACAAGCAACCTGTTGCTATTGGATACCGAAACTTCGGTATTATCGATAGTAGTGTGACTAATCCCAGGATCTTGACTAGCATCTGGTTCGAACTCTCTCCAATTCGAATTTCCCTAGTTACATTTCGGCTCTCAAGCTCTAGACTTATTGAGCATGGGAAGTCGCGATCGAGTCTATATTTAGTTTTATTTCTAAAATGTTCTTGTGAACCTTGAAAGTGCTGTCCTATTGTAGTTTGAAACGGTAAAATTTTAATTCCATACATCATGCTAAACTAAATTACACTATACAGTCCATGTTCAACACGTTTCTTATGATCTTCAACCCAGCTTATTTTTAACAGAACTTTTACTCTTGGGATTTAATACAGAACACACGGTAATCGAAAAATTGGAAAAGCGCGACTGGCTGGCGCACTGTTTTCCAAGTCCTGACATTCTGTCTGCCCAAAAACCTTCCTATAGATAAAGTTATAATGAACTCTCTTTTTGGGGAAATTTGTAAATTGGATTAAACTGAGCTTAATAAAGAATTGCTGTAAGTCAATATTGTAGTTCCTAAGTCGGAACATAGAAGAAAAACGAAACTTAAGATAATCGTAAACGATGCTGTATTATATAGGGATACACTTTTTGTAAAGTGTCATACCGTCAACATACGTTTCCAGGCCTTTGTTATAGAAGCAAGAAAAATTACCGAATCACTAAAATCAAAAATTTTCAAGCAAGAATCGGTTGGATCAAATCTTTTACCAAGAGAAATATCAGTTTCCATGTTCTTAGTAGAGAATCCTCAAATGTTACATTATAGTTGAATACTAACAAAATATTTGATAGATGCTCCCCTTAAGCAGTTTAATAATGCTGAAACGGCTTTTTTTTATCGACAAGTTCCAAAATTTTTGTTCAGAAAGAGGGTCCTTGTAAAGGAGAAAAATTAGCGAAACAGTAACTCAAGTGTTGTTTGCTATAGAATAAAACTAAAATCCTTGGTTATTTGGTGATGCTGGTGCCCTAAAAATTTTCTGAAAAAACAAAACTGAAAAATCTTCCTGTGACATGGCACTAAAAGTAGATCGCATCACAAGTTTTGAAGTGATTAAATGACGTTAATAGAGAATGAAAATTATTTCGAATAGCAAGGCAAAAATTTTTACCATGTAACTTCAGAAAAGTGCAGCCTTAGATCAAGTGTAATTCATGTTTCAAAAGCTGCTTACTGGAAAAAAAAACTTTCAAATTCATTGCATTCAATGTTCAGTGCAATGCAATTCAATGTGAAAATTCAGATTTTTGAATTTTTACTTTCCTGACTGTTATATATAACAGAAGGAAACTATAGCGATCAGTCAAAAAAATTTTTAGACCCAAGAAACTTTAAAACGTCGAGATACGCAAAAAAAATTCGTTTTTTTCCCGTATGGATGTTTGTGGGGGGGGCACGATTTTGTTCACCCTCTTTGAAGCTTGTCCTGTACTTTTTGTCGAAAATTTCTGAAATTTTGAAGGGAGGTTTGTATATTAGAAAGATTGATACTATTAATTTTGGCCACCGAAATTTTAAATGTTACTGGGAAAGTTAAGCAAGTCGTTGCTGGATTTTTTTAACGAAATACCTTTCAGAGCTAAACGAATCCATCTAATACTGCCTAAAACGTATAAATTAAAAGGATTATCTTGAAATCTGCCACTAAGTCAACCGAAAGAACCGCTAAAAATGTTTCCCCTTACTGTTCAAAACGAAGTAGCATCAATAGATGTAATATGTTATGACGAAAATGTTAAAGAAAGAATTGGTTCAAGTGCTTAAGATATTTTAGAAATGCTAATTGATGCTGACAACTTGGGATTAAAATAAAGATATAGTTGTGAGTAAATTCGTAACATTGAGCTAAAATTAACCATGGCTTGCGACATCAAATAATGATGATGAATGTTTTTCGCCGTATGTAACAACTTTGAATCGAAGTGGCTTGAAGAAAAACAAATTAGTTGATTACTTCACCAGATTATTAAGACATTATACATACAATAATGAATTTATATACGCACTGTACACGTAGTACATGTATTAACATGTTACTTGGATAATTATGCATTAATACGACAAAGTTCTTTGTAAAATATTTGTGAAATTTATTATGACTTCAAATGTAAATACGATGTTAATTAAAAAAACAATTTTTTAGCAAATTTGTTTTTGCTTTAAAAATGTATCCGAAGTTGGATAGGAAACAATTGTACACGTGTCCTATTTCGATATTTTATCTAAATTTAAAATTTTAGACTAAAGTTTTCCCAAACACGAAAATATTTTTGTAATTAGATTACTATTTCAAATGACTCAAGTGGTTTAATTAAACTTATTTCGTAATTGTTTTAAGCAAAAATTGTTTTGTTGTATGACAAATTACATAAAATTTTTAACTACATCAATTTTAAGATTATTTCTTGACAAATAAATAAAGGGAAAAAACCGTAACTGTTTTATATATCACATCAAGAACTAAAATTAAAAAAACAAATTTATAATTTTTTAGTATTCATATTAAGAACACTTTTTGATCCCCAGGACGTTACACGCAAATGGAATTTTGTTTTTCACTGAATTTGATATTTTGTGGATTTAACCTTACACATGTGATCGTGTAAATCTTTTAAGTTAGAGAACACCATTAAATGTTCCAAAGAATTGTGATACATGTTAAGATGTGGATTAAAAAAATAAAAATGCTATTTTATTGCAAATGCAGAAAACTTTAATTTTCATAACTTAAAATTGTTTTAACTATTCCAATTTTCATTTATTTAAATTTTTATTTTAAATCTAGAAAAATTACTCTTATTTAAAATTAAAGTCATTACTTAAAACTACAATATGTTCATTACAATAAGAGCATTAACCAAATTCATAAAATATATCTCATGGCAGCACACAAATTTTGAAATGTTCAAAATAGTTAACTGTTACGAATGTTAAGATAGATTTTAAATTAAAAAAAACCACACGAAATAAATCACAAGGCCAAAAAAAGGTTTTATTTTTTCAATTTGTGCTTTTTCCATTTTCTTCTATTATTGCAGGATGTATGTTCTGCGCATGTCAGAACTACAGTAACTGCTATACTAATGTACTGCAAAATTTGTTCATTGCCAATTTTTTTTTCATACCAAGAATTCACTTTTTTTTATTCTTACTCAAACAAAAAAATAAAAAAGTCATAGTGCAAAATCTTGGAAGGAAAGATGTGAATTTTAATCTGATGGAAAAGAAAAATAAAACAGACTCTTTGCAATAAAAGTTTTGACGCTTTCCTTCCAAGATAAGCAACTATTGTTTTGGCCATCAAACAACAATACTTTACACTTCCATGGACTTTCAAAAAAGTATTGTTAAGTTTCTTCTTCTTAGGAACAAATCATGAGTAGCCAATAGTGGCCAAATTACTAATTGGCATTTTCCTCAAACCACAAAATCTGAAGATGGACAACTTGAACATACTTCCCCCAATCACAACTACTTCAGCATTCAAGATGTTTCCAGATTTTGTGGTATTTGTACCAGTAAATACAGCTATCTTCTAGGATACATTGTATTTAATTAAAGGATTACCTCAGTCTGTGAGCAGAAAACAAAAATAAGTGTTGATAACCAATGTAGCTTAGAAGAAACTGTATTATGTAGAGGATCTGGAGTTTTCTAAATTCTGTATCTTGATGTACTTCATCTTAAGGCAGTTCAGTTGTCAAAACACTCAGTTATAACCTTTGAACTTAAAAACTGTTTTAGAAAGCCAACTGTTGAAATGTCATGCAATGCTGTCCATATTAATGGCAGTTACTTGCTGCTTCAGTATTACACTATAGTTTATATAAACTTCTTGGACACCATCACCAAAGAAATAACTGAAGTCCACTTTTATTCCACATTGCTGCAATGGCAGTTCATGGGATATGAAACTGCTTTTCGTTAGCAGTAAAATTGGCACTGTGGCTTCTTTGAGAGGGTCCTTATTCTCTTCATTTTAACACTAGTCATTTTTTCCAGTTTAAGCATTCTCAGTAGCACATGTCCAAAACTGTAAACAGTGCAGCACAGAGGTTGGCTGTTTCCGTAGTTAAAGATGTCAGAGTGATTTACTATTTACATTTGTTAATGAAAGTTTCTCTGGGATTATCTGCCTAATTAGAAAATGAAATAGAAATGAATGTTTTAGGAACATATATACTTAATAAAACCCCAGATCCTCTACAAAACTCAATTGTCAAAAGATTTCAATTTTTTTAAATTTTTAGAATAATATTTTTTGCAGATTATGCCAGAGAAGCTTTCATTGAACTTTATGGTTAATACAATACAAAAATAGGTGTAGAAAACCTACAAAGTATAGACCTTGCCTGTCTGGAGATGGTATCTTTTAAGAAACCATCTTTATTTTATAGAATATCAAACAGAAATGAGAGCAAAGATTTTACACAACTGAATTGCCATGTTTTAACTGTTCTGCAAGATGACTAGTTGTGTTGAGTTATTCCAGACAAGCATGGTCTCAGACATAAGAAGCAAAAGAATGCTTCTTCAAATCTTCTCAACTAACCAAATTCAAGCTAACAATATGAAATGAATTTGATCCTTAAGAGCATTTGATTTATACTCTTAAGTTTATATATTTACAAACTAGCATCGTCTGCATACCAGATGATGCTTTCAATGAACATGACAGATGATCCAAGCTGTGCGAACATCTCGTGGCAAGGCCTTCTACCCTGTCCTAATGACGACTGAAAGTGAACTCTTTTACACAGCTAAATTTCTCATATGATACAATAAAAGTATTCACAGGCACACTAAAGTCCTTAAAAAATATTATATCCAGCTTCCATTTTTTGAAGTCTGGAAGTTAAGCCATTCAGTATTTTAAATTTTTCTTTTTTTTGCATTGTTTACAGAGTCAATGGAACACAGTTTTAAAACAAAAAGTTCAAAACTCATTTTTATGAACTGCTTTAAAAAGCATTTCACTTAGAGTGTCAAACTGCTTAACAATCTGACAAAGATCACATCAAGGGAACACAACATCAGATGCTTCTTTTTTGCTTGGAATACACACAACAATCAAGTCTGAATGATCTGAAGTTCTGTTCCCTTTTCATCACAAACACGACAAGCTTGTGATCTCCACAAGCTCAACAAATATAAATATCTAAACATGAAAATAACAGAAAATAAATACAATATAAGATTCGTCTTTCATATTTCTTTTGAATTATGAAGTGTCCATGACATCATTAACACTGTTGACAATCTTCATCACAAGAGCAGAGCAGGATTTATACAGTCTAGTCACAAGAGATCCCACAGCTGATATGCAAAAAAATGACACTGGTGATGAATACCCTGCAAGCATTAAAAAAGTTATGGCTTAATATATTATATTACATTAAAAATAAATAAATTTGGAAAGGTTTCAATAATTTGTAAGGATTCTGCAAAAATTGCAAGCAGAAGCAAAGGAATTTATAGAATGGTTACATTTTGAAACAAAATTGTGTGACAAAAATCTGAGAAAATTCTCTCAAAACAGTATTTGATAAAATTTGAATGAAAAAGTAACTTTCATTATTCCTTATTAGTTACAGATTAAAAATTATGTTATTAACCTTTCTAATAGTTATAGAGTGACAGAACAAGAGTTCAAAAAGTAGATTGACAAAAGTCCAAGGTATAAAAAAAATTAGAGTAATTTGAGTTTTGTCTAGGTTTAGGACATGATCATTTGAAATAAAAGGATCACAAATTAGCTTAAGTGGTAAAATACATTACAATTAGAAAAGATTCAGAAAATAGTGTATTTCAGAACATGAAAAAGGACATTTCTTGATTCCTCTCCAGAATCATGTGTTTAGTGCTGTAAGAATTTTTTAAACTGTAAATTTGCTTAGACTACCTTTTGAAAAAATATATATTTGTAAAAATTTCAAAAATAGACTTCTAATATTCTTTGGAACTAAAATGCTAACTGAAACATTAAATCAACGTAATACAAAAAATATTTTGCTAATTTTCAAAATATTTACACAAATAATTGTATTTTGTAAATAACATAATACTGTTTGTTCTTTAAGCTTGATTACATAGCCTGAGTGTTTAAGAAATCAAAATTTATATTAAATATTTCTTGGAAAGTACTACTCATTTGAAAAGCAATATCTTAAAAAATAAGATGTTATTTAATAAAAAATTTCTCAAACTATTGTAAATATATTTTTCCAATTGAAAACATCAGTTAATTTCTCATTTTACGAATACTCAAAAATTAAATGTCCATACACTAAAATTTTCAATGTTATAATGTGTTATACAGGTATACCTCGACTTACATCGTTTCGAGTTACATCGTTTGTCAAAAAAGTATATGGGAAAATAAAAATCAAGTTTAAGTCATTTTATTCGACTTTACGTCTGTCCACCACAAATATTGAAGTTGTAATATCACTAGAAAAGCGTTTAAAGCACACAAAATCTTATTAAAATATATACATTTACAGTACATGCATTCGTAAATTTAGATTACTTTTTTCTGTACTATATTAAAAACTAAAATTTATTTATTTGTAAGCTTAAAATAGATCCTTATTAACCATATATTATTAAATATGCATTAATAAATAAAATACAGAACCGGGAATGGTAATTTATGGTTTAGCCTAATGACAAGTAGATTCGGAGACAAGTAAATTCAACTTACGTCGCCTCTCCTGGAACCAATTACCGACGTAAGGCAAGGTATACCTGTATATGATTTTTACATGTGAACAGTTTGTAGTTAATTTCTAATTCATGCTATGTATAGTTACCAATTTTATGATGTTTATAATTCTAAAAATTTGTTCTAGGTCAAATCTGGATTTTGAACAGTTTCAGCAGAATGTCATATTGCATATTCTATCAAAAAGAGTATTTCATAAGCCAGTGTCTTATATAAGGGAGGTTCAATAAAAAACTGGAAAGTGCCATTAAATTTTGGAAGGATAAGAAATATAATAATTTTGAAAAATAAAAATGTAAGACAACAGATCAAGAGAATTGATGGTGACTTTCCAGCAGGGCACAAAGGAAGAACAGCATATTATTGTCTGATTTTTGATAAACAAGAGTATAAACACTGACATGGTTGGCAGATATAGGTACAGTAATATGAGAACTGCATGAGTCACCCAGATATATGAGCAAGAGCTCTAGATTCAAAACTTAAGAGTTCTGCAGAAGTTTCCACCACTAGGACCAAAGTGAATGCCATGGACAATTGTCCAAAGAACTGACGGTTCGGAGGCATTTAACGCATGCGCATTATAACCGCGCATGTTTTCGTAAAAAAATTTTATGTTATAACGTTGCTTTATTCCAAAACGTTAATACGCTTGAAACGGTTTGTTATTTGTATTCGAAAAAAGGATTTTAAATGTTTTAACGACCTGATGAAGACGAAAATAATTATCGTCTAAAGCGCTTGTCGATTTAGCGACATTTATTTGTAATTTAATGCTTATATGTTAAAAAAGTTTTCTCCTATTAAACGATTGGCGTGCTGTCCATTACAGTATTATAGAGAACTGACGGTTTTTGAACCTGAAGTTTTACTCATACAAAAAACTCATGCAATTGAAACGAGCAGATGTAGTACAGAGATAACAGATGAGAAGCAAGAGTGTAAACTAATTAGCAAAAATCAGACATTATTACACTGCTTTTCCTTTGTGCACTGCAGGAGAGGCACCACCGGTATTCTTGGTCTGTTGTCTTGCATTCTCACATAACAATTTTGCCAGTCAACTCTGACTTTGAAGTGTCATGTGTCAAAATTACTATATTTTAAAAGAACTATAAAAAAATGTTCATAATTGATGAAATAGTTCCCCAAATAACTAAACACACACATCACAACAAGCCTTTACTTGTAGAACACTGTTAGAGTCAGAATTTTATCTTCCTTGTAATCAATTTCCATCTGAATTTTTTTTATTACAATTTTTGTAATTTCAGTATTATGTAAATTAATGCACAGTTCTGACAGAAGTCAATTGCAGGGAGGATAAAATTCCAACTCCAGCAGTAGCCCACATGTAAAAGTATATTGCAAAGTATGTGCTTTGGACATTTGTGGAACTATTTCATCAATTATGAATGTTTTTATAATTATTTAAAATATTTATTTTAAAATTAAATGTGATGAAGCCCTTTCACAAGAAACTTATTAAAATAGTGATTACAAGTCTACTTAGCATCAAAGCTGGAATCTGTTACAAAATGTAATCAACATACCTTAAACCTCCAGAAAAAAAAAAACAGCTTCAGCAACACTAATGTTTTTAGTCATTTCAAATGACCATCAGTCAGTCAAACCAAATTAAAAAAGATTAAATATTCTTTTACAAAATGTTCAATTATAAAATATGCAGTCCACATGTAATCATCATAAATTTATGTGTGTCGTAAAAGCAGATTATATATTCTGATGTTTACTTCAAAAAGAATTTAATCCCACTTTTAAAAGTATACTAATATAAAAATCAAAATAAACCCAACAGATACTTCTGAATCCATTTCTAAAACACAAGTCAACCTTTAAATGCAATTATTCTAATTCCTATAAAAATCTGAAATCAATATATATTATATAAATTTTTTAAAAAGACAACTCAAACTATTATAAGAAATATTTGACACAAAACCTATGTGCACATTTATATAGATAAAAAAAAATTATACATAAAAAAAATTGAAGTATTAATTTTTGTCAATTTATAATATATTAATTAAAAATTATTTAGTCACCTCATGATCAGAAGTCCCAAAGAGCATTTATTTAAGTTCATCTTCATCTAACTGATATTCAGGGACATATAAACTNTTTTAAGTTATTTAATAAATATTAATTTACACTATTCAATGATAATTAAATGACCATAAATAATTATGTTACATGGCACTATTATAATTAGTACTTTTTAAAATCAAAAATATAGATTACTAGTTAACTTGTGTAAATACACAAACTACAAATTATAAACCATTTTTGCTATTACACTTAAATTCAAAATCCATTAGTATTTTAATTCAGTTTACCTATTTAATTAAAAAAACTTCATCTTAATTAATATGAAAACTTAATATTCTTTGGTAATATGTACATTAGAAATAAATTTTTCCATTTAGAAACTTATTTTGAAATTTTCCTAGATTAAATAAATTATAATTATTGATTATACAGTAGTGATATTAGTAATAAAAAAATGTGAAAAATTGAAACTATTTCAATTTTTTAGATTGCAATAACTATTTCCTGAATACTACTGTTTACTAAATAAATCTTAAGAAAAAATACTTATCAAATTAATTTTCAAATTCAAAATGATTCAAATTAGAGATAGCAAATTCAGAGTTGTCATACAGGGTGTCCAACATTACCAAAACAACTCCACTACTAATTGATCATTAATGGCAGTTTTAAGTAACAAGTATTCATTATGCAAGTTTCCATTACATTTTCTGAATAAAACTAGTCAAAGAAATGCCTTGTAAACAATATTTTCTCACATTATAAACATAAAATTACTGGGCTCTCCCGCCACGACCAGGTGGTGACCACGGGAGAGTTATTATTATTATTATCATCATCATCATCTAAAACTGAAAAATTCTAGGAATATAATAGGAAAATAATTATAAACAAAAAATATTAACTGGATTATTATTAACAGCACTTACATAACACACACAAACACAATATAAATTATTTGCAGGATGAAACAAATATATATAGATATGCTAAACAAAAATAATGCAAGTTAAATAGAAATACAGTAAAACCAGTATAAATTGGAACCACACTGTACCAAATATTTTGCCATTTTTCAAATGCTATTTTGAACAGTTTTAGAACTTTCCTGTTTTTCAATCTTTAAACTGTACTAGATACATTTCACAGTTAAGTGATTTCACAATAAAAATGAATATACTACATATGTAAGAAACATTTCATTACTAGTTTTAATGTAAAGTGATTCCAACCAAAGTTGAAGGTATTTGAATACAAAAACAAACTATGCAATTCTAAAAAGTTCTTGTTGCTCTAGAGAACTTGTGTTAGGTATTTGAATACTTCTTGGATGCAATCCTCATGAGTTCACAAGACAGTAAACAATAGCGATTGTATACCGGTTTACCGATAAATTGACAAGTAAATTTCAAAAATTTACCGGTAATTCGGTAAATGAAAAATCCATACTAGAAATTTCTATGTAGAAAATATTGTGTTTATAGATATTTAAATGGGCTAAAGGGACATTGGAAAAAAAAAAAACAGGTAAGTGTAAGCAACAATATATCTCATTATTAATTTTATGTGAGATAGTTTTTGTTTAATTTTAATTTAATGACCATTCGTCCAACAAGTGTTGAATCAGAAAGGGTATTCTTGGGATCTGGATTATTTTGTACAAAAATTAGATCAAAATTAGGAGATAAGACTATAAATAATTTAAGTTTCTTGAGAAGTTAATTTTAAAAAATGGTAATCAATAAAATGGTATTAGGTACTATATATTATTTCTGTTGTATTTTTATTTTTCTGTATTATTTTATTTCTGTTTATTTCTATATTTATTATTATAGTTTGTTTAGAATAACACTTTAATTTTTATATTTTTTATATTTGATATCTTTGAAATAAAAAAGTGAAATGGAAATCATAATGACTTATATTTTTTATCACCTTAATTTTATTTTTCAAGAAAAAAATTTACCGGTAATTTACCGGTAAACCGGTATTTTAATTTTCATTTACCGAATTACCGGTAAATGAAAAAGTCGGTAAATTTACAATCCCTAGTAAACAAACCAATTCAAATACCAAGAACTAGTATATCATTCTGCTGCTGCTGAAAATTCTAATTGCATTACAGTAATACAGAGACAGTTATTCTGTGATCCGACTTCTCAAAGAATTTTAATACTCTAATTTTGTTACTTCAATATCTAATTACAAATAAAACTTGTTCAAAAATACTCAGTACTAGTTAGTTACTAACTAGTTGCTCTATACAAGGCAAACTAACAATCTATTAGCTTATTCTCATTTTTTCAGAAAATTAATTCATCAGTTGTTCTCAAACTCATTCACTTCTTAAAAGTATTTGGGTTAATTATAACAAATACTATTATTAACAAAGATCTTGCAACAAGTAAAAATATAAAAATGCTAAACCAATTAATTCAAAAAAAATTTTGACTCCATAAATTCTGTGATGACAGTTATACCTGACAGCAGTTTTAATTATTTATCCACAAGTGGCATCTTAACTCTTAACATGTTTCTGAATTATCTATCTACAACAGATCTTTGCATCTAGTCTTCAATATTGTTTTAGTCTAAAACAACTGACTTTTATACTAATTTTAGTTTTAATTTTGCTGTTTAACTTAATCCAAAGGTTCTGGACTGTGCTTACACTCTAGAATCTTTTATATAATCTTAGATATGTTTTTCTAAAGTTAAAAGTATGTAAATTAGAAAGCAAAGATTGTAAATGCTTACTTTTGGAATAGGCTTGATTTCAGTTCCAAGTTCTTGTTCTATTCGATGCAAGGCAAATCTGTCATCATATGTAATCAAATTAATAGCAATCCCCAAATGTCCAAAACGTCCTGATCTTCCTATACGATGAAGGTAAGTCTCTGCCATTTTGGGAAAGTCAAAATTGATAACAACATTGACAGCCTGGATATCAATACCTCTTGTGAAAAGATCTATAAAAGAAATGTAATCATGTAATTAGATAATTAGACACACAGTACTCAAATGTGCTTAAATTCCTATAAACAAATTACTATAATTACTTTTAGTTCTAAGAAATTTTTGTAACATTATATTTTCTTTAAAGAGTCAATGGCATGTTATAGATTCATGGGGCCCAAGCAAATTTGAATTAGGGGGCTTCATCTACTATGTTGACTTCAGACATTTTTCTTCAAAGGAGATTTTTTGAGGAAAAAATTTTTTTACAAGATTGGTTTGCAGTCCCCTGTTGGTAGGGTTCCAGACAAATGCCCTTTTTGTCCACAGGAAGATGCACCACTGAGAATGATTTCTAATGCCAGGAAAAAAAAATGCTTAGAATTACGATAATTTCTACATGAAAATTATGACTGTCTTTGCTCACAAAAGTAAGGAGTAAAAGGAAAAACTACCACTGGATTACATCAACCTACTTTATATAATTGCAGTAAAGTTGTCACTAGAGGAGGGTGTTAGGCACCAAAATAATTAAAATTAAGTTATTTAATAAATATTAATTTACACTATTCTGAAAGAAAAAAAATTGGCCTGGAGCAGGACTATAACCTGTAACTCCTGCTTACCATGCAGATTAATTGCCAGTTATGCTACCCAAGTCTCTGTTCCAATCTCCTATTCCAGACATATTTAAATATGATATAACCATGTGGAGAAGACAAACTTTTAGGCAAATCTTGACCAAGTTATAATGTGTGTTCCTGTGAATGAGAGATTAATCTGTCCATGTGATTTAATGGTCATGTTGGGAAGAGGAAGAATGCAGAAAGAAAAGTTCTTGGGAGAAAGACTAATCAATCATGCTGTGGCTTTTGACCTTGTGCTAGTTAACACCTGCTTTGAGAAGAAAGTGAATCGGCTGGAGCATGAGTGGAGGTAGATCTAGCCAATTGATTTTTTTTATTGTGCTGTAAAAGTCATCTGGGTGAAGTGAGAAACAGTAAGGTATTAAATGGAGAAAGTGTTGCTTCACAATATAAGTTCTTCTGGTGGATTTTGACTTTCTTATGGATCATTGTATAAATTGTGTTAGCCAGATTGAACAAAGGATTAAATGGTGGACATTGAAAGAGTTTAAGGCAGAAGTGTTAAAAGAAATTAAGTTCCCAGATAATGTGACTGATGAATATTAAGTGCATTTTGACAGATGGAGAAGTGCTTTTGGGAAAAACTTCAGGGAAGAAGACCCAGAAGGAAAGGAACTTTGGTGGTGGAATGTTGAGGTATCTGCAATTAAATAAAAGAAAGAGGCAAAGAAAAGCTGGGATTTGACGGGAAGGCCTGAAGATAAAGAAATTTACCATTTGGCAAATAAAATGACTAAAAAGGCAGTGGCTATTTTGAAAGCAAAGGCTTATAAAGTTTTCGAAAGAAAAAGTGAGAAGCAGCAGTTGATGAAAATTGCCAAAGCAAGAGATAAGGCATCAAAGAATTTTACTTCTATTAAGCTGATTAATGATGATAAAGGAGTGACATTACAAGATTACAAAAGAGTCAAGGAAAGACAAAAGTATATTTTATGAATTTATTAAATGAGGAAAACCCCAGAACTTTATACCAGGATGGAGAGGCAAATGAAGGAGTGGTGCAAAATATTAGCAGAGAAGAAGTGGAAAGTGTGCTTAGGAAAATGAAGATGGGGAAAGCAGTAGACACTGATTAGATTCTGGTTGAGGCTTGGAGAGGTTTGGGTAAGGAGGGAAATTGATATTCTCTGAGACCTTATGAAGAAACTCTGGCAGCAGGAGAAGATCCCAGATGAATGGAGGAAGAGCATGCTGGTGCCGATTTTTAAAGGTAAAAGAGATGTACAGAATTGCAGAAATTACAGAGCTATAAAGTTATTGTCCCATATTATGAAGATTTGGGAGAAAATTGTAGAAAGAAGGATTAGGCAGGAATCTGAGATTGGAGAGGAGCAGTTTGGTTTTATGCCAGGAAGGGATATGACTGATGCTATCTTTGCTTTGAAACAGCTAATGGAAAGACACCAGGAAAGGCAGGAAGATTTGCACATGGTGTTCATAGATCTGAAAAAAGGCATATGATAGGGTACGCAGGCAATGAAGATGTTTGAGGGGGAAAAAATATTCCAGAAAAATATGTTAAGCTCATCAAGGAAATGCACGAGGGAGCGGAGATTCAAGTTAAGAGTAGTGTGGGCATTACAGAAAGATTTTCTGTTAAGTTGATTTACATCAGGGATTGGCCCTTGGCCTTTATCTGTTTGACCTGATAATGGACGTGTTGGTGTGTGATGTGAAGTGCAAGGCTCCATGGAATATGCTGTTTGTGGATGATATTGTGCTGTGTGAACCTTCCCAAACCAAGGCTGAAAAGAAACTGGAAGTTGGAGGAAAGGGACATGAGGGTTAGCAAAACTAAAACAGCTTACATGACTCTGAATGGCAGGGACAAGTGCAATATTAAAATCCAAAATGTGCCCCCCTTTGGTTTTGAGTTTTAAATATCTTGGGGCCTTTGTTGAGATGGGAGGGAGGATTGAACTCTGAGGTGCAGCATAGAATTCAATGTGGATGAATGAACTAGAGGAAGCTGAGCAGTGTTATGCAACAAGAAAGTTCGCTGCAAGCTGAAAGGTAAATCGTACAAACCGGTCGTTAGACCTGCAATGTTGTATGGGGCTGAGACATGGGCAATCACAACAGTCCAAGAAAGAAAGATGGAAATAGCAGAGTTGAGAATGTTGAGATGGATGTGTGGAGTGTCAAGGAAGGATAAAATAAGGAATGAGTTTATTAGAGGTTCTGTTAAGGTGGGATCCTTGAGCAGGAAGATGCAAGAATGCAGGATGAGGTGGTTTGGCCACAGAGCAAAGTAGTGAAGATTATGAAGGAAAGAGGGTCAGAAAACTGCTAGTAAAAGGAAGGAGGATGACCAAGGCTGTGTTGAAAAGATAAGGTGGAGGAAGACTTGAATCAGGGGTGACTTAAGAGAGAAGACACCTTTGATAGGAAGAAATGGAGGATACATATTAGAGAAGGAAACACCGACCCCAAATAAACATGGGAAAAGGCAAAGATAAAGAAGAAGAATAACCATCCTCAGTTATGGGTTTAACAATGGTTGGCTGAGTGCCATGAGTAGGAATTTATTTGATGAAGATGCTGAAGACTACCCAGTCAGGACTGTATGTAATCAAGGATGATTATATATCATTTAAATGTGTCTGGAGGCTCATGTAGCATAACCGGCAACACATGCTCATGGTAAGCAGAAGTTGTGGGTTTGAATTCTGCTCCAGGCCAAATTTTCTTCTTCCAGAATATTCCAAATTTAATAAATGGCACCTAACACTTCCCTCTAGTGACAAATTATTTAGTAATTAATTAAATATAAATTGTGGTAAAGTAGCCTGATGTTAACCAGTGGTTGTTTGGCTTTACAAATTCAAAAATCGGGTTTTGTGAAACTTATGTATATAAAAGAAAACAGTTTTAATGTTTACTCAGTAAAAAAAAAAGTTATAGACATCTTTAACAAGATTTCTTACAAAAAAATTGATATGTATGAAATCTTTATTATGATTTTAGAAAACATTAGAGTGACTGAATGGAAACTTTACTTGTAGGGAGTAAAAATAGCTTAATAATGACAACTAATATCAAACAACAATAAATCATTAAGTTCAGTGATAGCTCATTATTGCTAATTAAAACAATTGGAAATACAAATACTTTCTTTTTGTAATTTAATTCTGTAAAGTGTTAAGATTAATCATATTTATTATTGTTAGCCGTGTTTAAGTTAGGTGCCATCTGTGGTTTTTTTTTATGTAAAAAATCCAAGTCAGATGTGCATAAGCTAATAAATGTTCTCGTTAATTAATCGCAACCCCCTTTTTGATCTGTTCACGGTTACACGAAATCACCACAGAAAGTCTTCAAATTTCAATAACTTATATGAAGATACATTTCTATCTTAAATCAATGGTGCTTACAAAGGTTTGCATTTACAGATGTAAGAAGTGACATTCCATAAAGTGTGTGTAAAAAAGTACAGATAAGTTTCTTTTTGACATATGGATTCCTTTGCTTCACAAGCTCTTAAACATGGGTGAATTATGTATCTTTTAGCAGTCAGTAACATTCATCACAATTAACCCCCTGTTAAGTTTTACTATTTAATTATAAATCATTTACATTAAATTATTCAAAATAAAATGATTACAAATACATATTCTTTCAATATAGTCAATACTAGCATAACAAACTTCACATTTTTTACATAAAAAAAGAATAGTATTAATTCCAATGGCAAGATAAAAAAAATCTTATTCTATGTTTAACTTTTTCATCTTAAAACTGATTAAAAATGATCAGAAATTACTGTGAATTAAATTTCAAACAAAATAAAAATCAGAAAATATAAGAAAAAAAAGTCTTGTAGGAATTCAGATGTGTGATGAAATTGTGAAGAAAAAAAAAATGTATTTCATTTCCATATAATATCTTGATTTATGGCTGAAACAAACTTCAAAATAATTGATAATGCATAAACCATTTAGTTTTGTTTTTTATTATATTAATACAAGTCTTAAACCAGGGTTGTCCAACCTTTTTTTCTAATGGGCCAAATTAAAAATTTGGGTATATTCAGCAGACCACAAAAAGGTATTTTTAAATATATGCTTTTAAAAAAGTTCAAAATGTGAATATCAAATTTTAATAACAAATATATATTATTACAAAAATACTGCATTATTGACAGTAAAAAAAGAAATACTCACAAAAATATAAATTCAATGGAATTTTTGACATTGCCTTCCTTTTATAAAATTGTCAATATCTGCTTTTATGGTACTAGTATTAATTCTAAGAATGTTAGTTAAATGGGAATTACTCAACCTATTTCTTTCAGCAGTTTTGACAATTTTTATGCACAAAAAGAATTGTTCACAACAGTATGTACTACCCCACATGCATAACAGTTCTCTAGATCAGTGGTCTCCAAAGTGGGGTATGCAAAGTGATACTTGGGGGTATGCCAAGTTCCCTTCAAAATACTGTAAGTGTCCCCTATACAGTCAAAATACTATAATTATAATTCAAAATGTAAATTTGTATTTTAATTTAAATGTATATATATTGTTTAAAATAAATAAGTAATTTGATTTTTGACTACACACACATTATATTATATTTATACATATTATATTATAGAAAGTAAAACTTAAAATTATTTTCATCTTATAGATACATACTGAAAAAAAGTTTGGAGAAAAACAGTTTTTTAACATCAATTATGTCATTATGGCATTAAAGTGTATCCAGTGAAGTGAGAATAAGTTTTATGACACACATTTTCATTTTGGTAAAGTACCTAAAAAAATTTAGGGTGCAGTGGGCCACAAAAATAGTAAGTGGGTCGCAGTGCAGCTCAGACATTCCTGTCAAACTATCTGTTGTTTTGATTTTTTAATTCAATCTCCTCGTGGAATTTTTTAATTCAATCCTCTCATGGAATACTAAGAACTAGCTTTGAAGCACACTGAATAAAACTCAATAACTTAGTATTTTGAAATCATCTTCCAGATTTCATAAGAAGTATTCAAAGTTTCTCACACAACACACAGCAAAACAGTAATAAGTATTGCCAGTAATAATTACATAAACTGCAAATTATAACCTTTGTTAGAATATAATATTTTTGTTATAATCATTCTGAAAATAAGCAAACAAAATTAATAACAACAAGTAAAATGGCAAGGCCGTATTTGGGACAGGACTGTCTCGGAGACTCACTACTAAGTGGGATCACTTTGATACTCAAGGCAGGTCTCTTTCTCATTCTCCAATCTTTGGTATCACTGATTTTGAGCACAATCTTTCAAACTTTGCTGGTCATGACCACGAGGCATTCCTGGTAAAATTAACCTATCCAATTTTAAAATTTCTCTGTTGCATGTTGCCCCAGATTGAATTTTTGTTGACGCCTAAAGAAAATTTCTCGTTTTTGAAAAAAATTATCTTGGTTATTGTATCATCTGAAATTATTTTTTTATATCTACTTTCAAAAACGTTCTGATGATGAAACAAGATATCTCGAGTCAACCGGTCAAGGTCAGCACATGGCGGAATAACATAGGACAGGTAACTGTTTTTTTTTCAAAGATTCGTTTGTCAAAATTTGATTTCTCATTTCAAACTTCCCAAAATATATGTCAAAATTTGATTTCGCACAGTTCGCAATTCCAACTTTCCAATGAGCAATGCATGCACAAATCTTGCACTACTGCCTGCTTATAGAGTGTGTCACCATTTTGAATTTTATTTTGACTCAATTCTCGGTCCCAAGAGTACCTACAAGTCTGGTTTTTTATGCATGCATGATTTTGGCACCAAATACTCTGTGCCAAATTGCAACTCCTGACATGTACTCCTTCATAAATAAAATAAAATTATTTATGATTTAATTAATATTATTTTTAGGTCATTAACTTTATTTAAAAGTTATAATTTTTAAAACAATTAAAAAAAGTTATCCAAGGCTAGGATCAAATCTAGATCGCCCGCATTGCAAGCGCTACAAAATCAGCCATTTCGCTGCACTGCCATAGAGTAAAATCAATCAGTATATGAGCTGTGATTAAAACTTTAGAGGTCTTTTTCTCGGAATCTTATGGCTAGTGCACTTTACAATTCTTCTGGGTGGACACCCTTGAGGTATACTACTAACCTGCAAAGTCACATCCCAAACTGAATTTATGAGACTGTAAGGTCCCCTTGTAAGATTAAAATTTTCTTAAATAGCAAATTAAGACAAATAATATTTGTCTTAAGATTAAACATTAACAATTTAAATAATTTATTAAATAATTTAGAATTAACTGGAAGATCGCATCTAATGTCTATCTCTAGTAGCAAATTACTTAGTATTTATTATTAAAAATAGTGGATTTATAGCCTGAGTATTTAAGGTTATCGTTTGGCTAAGTATTTATTATAACTTATGCATCAGCTGTATAATAATGTAAAAAATAATTTTAGATTAAATTCATTAAAGAATAAAAAAAGGCTTGAGTGCACTACCATATAAATCTTACATTCTTAAATTTTTAATCTGAAATGACAATAGCCATCATTTTATCAAATTTTTCAGTTATTTGAAGTAGCATTGGTCTATATTACTTTGAATAATTGGGATTCTACTGTATTTAAAGCAAAGTGTCTATTGTAGTTTTAACAAAAGATGATTTCACAATTTTTCCCTTAGTTATTTGTAATCATAAATTGAGAAAATCATCCTACATATTTTCAAACAGCTTTGAAACAGTATTATACATTAACTTAATTAAAACAACAAAAATGAACAATCTCATTGTAATTCTTGTTTCAAAAACAACAGTATGTTTTAGTGTTTCTTTCAAATAAGCACTTACTAATAAAAAAAGTATTTTAAATGACAATATGATATTTCAATATTCTATTGTTTTTGAATTTTTCATTAAATATGACACAGTAAAAAGTATACCAAAATTAGTTTTAATTGCAATAAAATGAAAGTTTAAAAAATTTCAATTACCTGAACAAACAAGATTTCGGCATAACCCAGCACGGAAGTCATGGAAGACACGATTACGGTGCTGTTGAGACATTTTAGCATGGATATAATAACAAGAATAGCCAAGTTCTGTTATTTTCTTTGCCAGCAATTCCACTCTTTGAGTTGAGTTACAAAAAATAATAGATTGGTTTATTTGCAACTGAAAAATATTTAAAAACTTTTTAATATTTGGTTACAGTAAGGCTTTCAATCACACAAAAAAAATGTTTCTATTAACAATTTATTAGGTNAAAAAATAACAATAATTAAAAAATTCAATTATAACAGTCTGTATTTACATTCTGTATCTACTGTATACTGCCAGTAATATTTGCAATATATGTACATACACTGTAATTACTGAAAATTTACATTTATTTCAGTCTAATTTTAATTATATCTTTTTTATAAAAATAATGCTACGATCATTTCATATAAAAATTTTAATGAAATACGAGATGTTCGGATAAAACAAGTATCATCAAATGCAACAACACACATTTTAATTAGGAGGAAAAAAAAATTACATCAATTGCACTCAAACATTCTCATTTGTAAAACAACTGAAGTTTTGATCATATTTTATTCAAAACACGAATAGTGTGCCCTGCAGGTTGACAACATTCACACTCATTCAGCCTGTAACAGATCAATGATCACATATTCCAATATTCCTATTGAAATGTTGCTGATAGCCAATGATTGTTGTTTTCAGCTCCTCAATGATATGTGGTTGACTTGCATACACTTTGCTTTTAGGGCACCCACACAAGTAGTCACAAAGCAGACAATTCAGGTGATCAAGAAACATCATTCCTAGATATGAAATTTACTGAAAAGTCAATGAATGCAAAGTATGCCATCCTGCTGAAACAAAAATGGCCTCTTTTGCAGATTGTGTGTATCATGTGGGGAATACAGTGGTGCCTCGTATAACGTACGCCTCGAATAACGGACGTTGCGAATAACGGACTTTCTGTTTGACCGTTACGTGACTCGAGCAACGGACTTGCTGCGAACAACGGACTTTCCGTTAGGCATTTACGTGAGACGAACAATGGACTTTCTTCGAACAAGTGCGAATGATGTTTCCACTCTTTTGCCGTTGCCAATGACAATCTGCTATTTTTAGGATATATTATTATTATTAGAATGTATTATTAGTATATCTGAAGTAGAAATATAATGTAATATATGTTGATAATTTAAATAAACATTAAATGTAATGTAATATATGTTGACGATTCAAATAAATGAAATGTAACTGTGTAGATGCCGAGGTGGCAGGACGAAAAGAGGTTGTAAAAAACAAACGGAGCGAGAGTAGCCCGTAGAAGTGTTTAGTGATCTTAATTAATAAAGAATTATTCGTATCATATAATCTGGCAAGTTAAGTCATTTATAATGCATCATGGCTTCTAAAAAAACAAAAAGGTGATTTCAATTGAAACAAAGCAAGAAATCATCAGGAGTGAAAGTTGACAAAAACTTTCTTGTCGAATGGGGAGAGGTTCAGGAGTTTACCAACACTCATTATCCAAACAGAGCTGAGGCCAACAGGATCAATGATCTCTACGATGACACCTTTGTCCGTCATTTCCGACAGGTGTTAAAGAAGAAAGAGAAACAGACCACCTTGGTCATGTTTTTCAAGAAGCCAGCGGGCAAAAAACAAAGGATGGAACAAGAGAAGTTGACCCTGCAAGTTCCGGTAGCCTCTCCTGAATCTGACTCCGATTAAAAAACAATAAAAAAAGACCCGCTGCAATGTGTAAAAAGTCTGTATCTGTATGAATGTGTAAAGAAAGTGTTCTTCCACCTCCTCCTCACAACATCTGACTACCCGGCATAATTGGTGTCTGCTCCATTTTCATTTTTTATGGTACAGTACGGTTATTTTATGCTGCGGAACGAATTATATGTTTTAACATGTATTTCTATGGGAAAATGCGTTTCGTATAACGGACGTTTCACTTAACGGACGTGCACCTGGAACGGATTAAGTACGTTGTACGAGGCACCACTGTACTTGCAAGATGTTACTGTAGTTTTTTTTGGAGGATAAGAAAGAACAAAGGAACCAATTATTCCCAGTGACAGGCCACACACAATACCAACTTTCTGATTGTGTAGCAGCAATTGATGGACAATCTGACCAGTAAGAACAGTTTGTTTAATAACAAAACTGCTAAGATGAAAATGTTCCTTGTTAAGCATTCATAATGAATGTAAGGAAGCATGATCATCCAAAATCTTAGTCAAAACATCAATAATAATGTATTTCCTGTTCATAATCACTAACTGATTGTCACAAAATTCTATACCCGCTAGGACTAGAATTTTGTCATCAGTGCAGATGTCATCTCAAAATATTTTGAACTATGTTACACAGTTCAAAATTTTGAAACAATCAGTTAGTGATTATGATTTCTAGTTTTACACTTCCTATTGTTGTGTTTAACTATCCTAGGACTACCCATTTAATGAACTTCCTGTAGCTTCAAAATCCCTTACTCAAACCTGATTGCATATTAGATCTTCAGGATCATGCCTCCCAAGGTTAAAATGACACAGATATTCTCTTCTAGCAACTGCTGCACAACCATTTTTATAAAACGCCTTAACAATAACTGTACAGTGAGATTCACTCCACGATCCATTTTCCAGCAAATGGCATAGTTTTGTTGAACAGATGGCACTCAATAAGTGTTGCCAATACAACGAGAGATTCTCCATAGAAAAATCAAACACCTATTTTACTGACAAACTTTGTATTTATCTGAATTAAAATAGATAAAAGATCATAATCTTAAAATGATATAAATATTCTAAATTAAATTATTAACATTGATCATTTAAAGCACAAAAATGACCTAAGTGATTCTGTAACTGAGTTCCACACATCTGACTTCATTTCTGAGAAATTCACATAAAATTAACAGCAGTTAGACAATGGGCTTTGCAGCAGTTCTCAACTAATGTATTCTGAACTACCTCCTAAACCTGAACATGGTGACTTTCAATTTTACAGCAGTCTGGATTTGTACCTGCCAGATTCAGTGAGACTAAATCAGTAGTTATTTTAAAAATTGTTAAGTAGGATTCTTTTATCAAATATATTTCTGGGTACAACTAGTTTATATGTTAGTCTAGTAATATTATTCCTCTGCATGAACATTGACTCATATATATAAAATTTGGCTAACTTTCTGAATTCAACTTTTTAATACATTTACCTGCTTTTATAGTGGTTATGTAAAATAGTTAGATTTCTATACTCTGATATTTCAAAATCATTTTTATAAATTTCCCGTTATGCTTAATTTTTATATTAGCTTTCTGAATTATCTCAAATATGAAATGCACCATGTAACTGTGAAAGACCAAAATTAGAGAATGTCGATATTCTCCGGTGAATATCGACACATACAAAATATGTTAGTGAAAGACCGAATATTTGGTTATATTATTATACATTTGAACAATCGCTGATGTATGTCAACAAGCACAGATAAGCTTTGGTGGAGGTCAAAATGACACTTGAGAAGCCAATGTCAACAGAGGCAACAGTCTGTCGTCGCCAAATGCTTTGTGGATAGCTGGAAGTAGGACAAGGTCGGCAATGGTTTTGGTGGAAACCACCCACTTTGTCACTGGATGGCATTTTTCCCAGCAATGGTTTGGTGGAAACCACCCATTTTGTCACTGGATGGCATTTTTGTTCTTTTGATCCTGTGAGGTGGGGATCGGTTTGTCAGGTCAAGTGGCAGAGGATGAGAGGAGTTGTCGGTAAGGCATCTGTGATATCTGAATAAAGATACCACTAACAGATCAGTTCATAGTCATATAATCAGTTCATAATTTGTAAAGAAAAGTTACTTTCTATAGACAAGATTGCTTCAAGAAATATCACTGAGAGAAGCAGCTGCAGCTAATTTGAAAAGTGGAGGACAAGGCTATACATGCTGTCATTACAAAAAGAAGTGTTCCATGAATAAATGCAGTTGTAAAAGCAAGGGACTCTTCTGCAATTCAAAGTGCCATAACAGTTTAAGTTGTTGCAATAAATAAGATTGTATAATGTGTTAATCACAATTTATGTGTAAGTTTATTATTGTATTATTTTCTTTAATGATTTAGAATGTACTGTTCATTTTAGGTTCAACAGTTTAATTACATGTACTGTTACCTAAGCTTTCTCCTATTTTGACACATTAAAAAGTTGCATTTTTGTCTTAACATAATAAAGATATTTTTATTCAACATTCACCATCAGTGCATGCTGAATGTCAAGATTTGCTGGTGTAAGTGAGAAATAATGATATTTAGCAAATATTTCATACATACACAAAATGACTGTGTGAATGCTCACATTCACCAGAGAATGTTGACATTCGCCAGATATCAGTCATTCACAGTAACACACACAATCCAGTGAAGCAGATATCATTAATGATCTATCATGGTCTATTTTCATCACATTTAAACTCCAAAAATTATGAAGTGAAAGAACTAAATTTGTGAATCTCATTACATACCAAAAATATTTATGAAAATTTATATTAGTTTAATACACAAAAATCTGAAGAAATTTACAAGAGACTTATAATTACATTATAATTTTTGAGAACAGATTGGATATATTTATGTTGTACATTTTATATCTACAAAGCAAAAAAAATTTTAAGTTTACCAATAGATAATTATTCTTAATATCAGGTCAGTCCATAAGTTCGTGCGCATTTTTATCTATAAAAAAAAGCAACAAAAAATTAATTAAATTTTATTTCAATCTATAATGTATTCACCATTATTTTGTACAATTTCTTGCCATCTTGATGGTAGCTTTTTAATCCCGTCTTTGTAAAATGATTTCAGTTTTGAATCAAAATATTCAGAAATAGCCTTTTTTACATTGTTCTCATCCTCAAAAGTTTTTCCTTTTAAAAAATTCTGCAAACTCCAAAAAAGATGATAATCACTGGGAGCAATATCTGGCAAATATGGTGGATGAGGTAAAATTTCCCAGTTGAAGCTTTTGAGTTGAGCAGTTGACGTTGTTGTCAGTTAGCTATTGACAGTTCATGTGGTATCCATTTTCCTAGCTTTGAAACTTTTCCGATTTGTTGTAGATGTCTATGAACAGTTCCATGGGATGAATTTAAACGTTCCGCAATTTCATCAACTGTTAAAGATGGTTCTGCTTCAACTAGTGCAGAGAGAGCATCATCATCAAAGTCAACAGGTCTTCCAGTACGAGCCTTATCCTCCACACTAAAATCATTATTTCTAAATCTTTCAAACCACTTCTGCGCAGTCCTTACACTAATTACAGTTTGATTATGAACAGTATTTAATTTTTTGGCTGCATTTGTAGCATTCTCATCACTTAAAAATAAAAAGTATAAAACATGTCTCTTATATTCATCTGTTACTTCCATTTTAACGAAAATAAACAACTGAAATGTTCCCAATTCTGAACAGTATTATATGAATGAGATCCAATTTAACACTTCAGTGTAAAAAGTATCACATTAGACTGGCATTTTTAACAGCAAAATAAGATTTTTCTCAAGATCATAATACGCATGAACTTATGGACTGACCTGATACTTAAATTACTCTTAAATTTAGATAATACAATATTTAGCTGAATAATAGATAAAAAATACTTACTTTAGAAAAAAGTGTGTTTAAACAATGAACTTTTTGTCTTTCTTGAACAAATGCATAATATTGTGTAACTCCTTTTAATGTTAATTCATCCATTAAATTTATTTCATATGGTTCATTAAGATGTTTTCTCTATAAAAATTAATTTGTAATTAGTATTAATGAATTTTATAATTCATTTAGTATTTTTTAAAACTATATTAACTTAATTATACTTTACAATTACTACTTTAAGCATTGAATTTTATGCTGAGATATAATTTTTAGATTGTAAGTTATGCATGTAAATGCATCCAAAACAGGTTCTGTAGCTAATACAAAATACAACAGAAATGTTAAAGGAATTCAGGAAATAACTTTAATTTTTAAGCTGCAATTCTAACAAAAAATTTAAATGATGTAAAAGCATTTGAAGAAATCATTCTTTACATATATATATATATGAAGTCACTTTAATCCCAAAACTTTTTGGTTGAGTCTCACAGCACTTCTGGTTAGAAAATTAAAACTTTATTGCAAAAATTGAATGGGTGTTATACACCCATATCACATTTAAAAAAAATTATCACTCTAGTAATCATAAAATCTAATTTTTTTTAAAATATTCTGATTTCAAAATATATAAATTTTATAAACTTAAAATTGGAGTGTTAGAAAAAATTAACATTTAAATACTGAACTTTCTCATTTACATAAATATTTATAATAACCAAATAAGAATACTATGCTGCAACCTTATTGGTCAAAATTAGAATTTACTGTCAATAACAATAAATTTGATTCTAATAATATATATTAGCAATTTCATTTTGTATATTTAATAGAATATATTAAAACTTTGACACTTATCTTCAAGATAAATTTAATCCATCAAATGTTTTAAAAGATATGGATATTACATAACAACTTAAATTCTAAATTATTATAATTCTTATCATCATTAAGATTTGATCTTATAAACTTTTTTCTGTAAACCCCATTAAGATAACAGGACATTAAAAACAGTCCATATTTAGAAACAGCAAAATAGGTTTTGTTACAGGGTATTAGAAGAATTCCATGCATCAAAATATTTCCTACATTACTGAATATTTATAAATATAAAAAAAAAGTACTTACCATGAATTGTTCTACAGTTAAAGGGAATGTGGCTGAATATAGAAGAATTTGACGTTCTTTGGGTAAATAGCTTATGACTTTGTCCAACATGCCTTTAAAATCTTGAGAAAGTAATTTGTCAGCCTAACATAAAAAAATTTATGATCAACTATTTGATAATTTATTTATTCTAAAACAAAAAAATTATTAAGAGTAATAACATTAATTTGGTTTACTTTAACATATTTGTATATCAATTTTATTTAAACACTGATTTGCTAATTCTTTAATTTCTTGAAGAAAGCCCATAGATTATTTGTTTTAATTATACTTCTTTTAAATTGACTATCTGTATTTTAAATTGCAATCAGAAGCTGCATATTAAGAACATCTTTGTAAAGATTTGTAAAGGATTTTTAGTCCTTGACTTTTTTGAAAACTGTCAAGACATCATGTACACATACTTATTTGTTCTACAATTGACATGGCTATCATTCCTGTCAAGCCATCCCAAACTCAACTCCATCCACAAACTTCCACAAAACTTCAAGCAAACATCAAATATACTACAGATAATAGAATATCCATGTTAAAACTTTTCTTACTTTTATTTGAAGTTTATTCTAGCATTATTATTACTGAATTGTTTCCTACAAGGTGTACATACCAAAGTCACAGCGTACTTACAGAAAATGCTTTGTTTGTGTAATGTATCTGTTAAGAATATTCTGATTATGTGAGATTTTTAGTATGACAGCTTTCTATAGTGAGAGTTTCTGAAGCCCTAAACGTTTCATAACTTTTGTGTAATTTTATTATTTATTTATAGCATCTCCAACAAAAGATACAGGTAACCCCCGTATAACACGGGAGTTACGTTCCAAAAAAATGTTCTGTTATGCAAATCCGTGTTATATGAAACAAAGAACTAGTGCGAAAAGGGGGGTTAGGTTCCAAAAATTAAAAAACATGTTGTTAAATCCTTATTTAAAATTGGATTTATTATTAATTTTTTCACAGATAAAATATTTATTATTTAAGTAAATATTTTACCAGAGGATTATTCATTTTATATGATGATATCAGCATGATCATCAACTGGTAACAGTTTGTGGGTGCGTTCGTTAATAGCAGTCACTCTGCAACAGGAGTGCGCTGCTGTTTGTGGGCATTTAGGAATAATGGTGAAAGAAAGATGGTGGTGCCCACAACGGAAAAAAATTTCAACATGGGATAGGTTAATATATTTTTTCGTACATAATCGGTTATCTGAAAAATAAGTTATTCGAACAACCCCAGTCCCCAATTGATTTGGATAAACGACACTCTACTGTAGTCAGAGTCCTGACTGACAGGGAACACACTAGCTGATGTCACAAATGTTATATATTGTTGTATAATATTCTTTTTTTGACATTTTGAAGGCATGCACTACTCATTCATAATTCTTTGCTATTCTTTGAAGTTAACAAAACTTCACTGTGTAGAGATTTTCTAAGTGTCAAAGTTTTGGTGTTTGTTGAAAATCTGGATAAGTTTGCATCATCTCCCAACATCCTTACACAGTCTTCAAAACTTGATATATTAGAATGTATATTTTTATGACATTTGCTTGTTACAAAGAATGTATGGTGTAAAACAATGACTTGGTCTCTATTATAATTACTACTACAGTGTTTGGAAATTCATATCAAATCATAAATTGGATCACCATATTTTTTTGCTGTTCAACACTAAACTGATAAATTAACAATCTTTTTAAATAAAAGAATTAAAGAATGTTTAAATTAAAACATGTTTTAAATTTTATACATTATCATAGGATGGCACACAAACTCAACATATGTTGATTAAAATATAAGCTGAAGCTGATGTCATGATTGATCTACTTTTAGCATGGAGTGCTAATTTGAATTTTTGGATTAAAAAGTATTAAATTTATTTATGACAACACTGTACATTTTTCTTCTTAAAAATTATTTGAGAGAGACATCAGTTTTCAAAATAATGATGATAACAATAAAGTTTGTTTCACTATTATTAAAAATGCAACAGTTTTTAAATATTTTGACAATAATTATTTTATAATAAATTATGTAAGAAATTGAAAATGCTTATAAAATNGGATGGCCGAGTGGTCAAGGTGTCAGCCCACCGCTCTGGGAGGACCCGGAATCGAATCCAAACGGGTCAAATAATCCTCAGGAAATTTTCGGGAGTTGGTCCGTCCTTCACCTCCCGGCCGCCTCATTGGGGACCTGGCCGAACTCATAATGGGCTTGCAAAAATAGGCCCCTTAGTGCCCACAGGACGGAAAATTAAAAAAAAATTTAAATTTAGTTTACATAGAAAATTTGCAAATTTAATAAAGAGCAAGTGAATATTTCATTTTAATTTGAGCTGACAAGAAATTTCACCCTTGAATAGCAAAGAAGAGAATTTTGAAATAAATTTTTTTATCAATTCTTTTAAAGCTCCATTTTGGTTTTCTGTAAAAATCAAAAATAAGGTTCCATACTGCAAGCATGTAACTAAGTAGGCATCAATGTAACAAATAACTGAACATAAAGTAAATAATGTATCAATTTCACTTTTAAAACACAAGATCCATGCATTTTGGCAAATTCTCCTATTAAAGTCTGTAGGCAAAGACACTACTACAGTTTTTTGCAGCTACTGCCATTTTTTTCAACTGCAAATTTCCCCAGAACTATTTTCATTTCATCTAAACCTCATTTACGTGACTAGATGTATTCCACACCCTGATCATTGTTATTTTATAGGAAATGAGCAGATGACAATCTTATTGATTTATAAATCACATTAAGTGGCAGTTTCAGAAAATACAGGCAAGCAAAAATTCAATTAACACTTATTTTTCAAGAATAATTTTACATTTTTAAGTCAGCAGCACACATTCAGCAAATAGCTTGAAAATATGTCTAACAAAAGATTTACTATCTGGCTGTAAAATTCAGCCAGATAGTAATTCTTTTGTTAGACTCTAATTTCTCTAAATTTAACAAATGAAGACTACTTAAGAAAATTTGAATTTTATGGAAACTGTTGGAAGTTCACAAATTGTCAAATTCTATCTTTTGGCAATTTAACTTAATGCTGACTTTTTATAATGAAAATCATTACCAATAATTTTTATGATACGTAAATAAATTTTTTTAATCAAAAGTCATTTATCATATTTGTATATTTTTTTAAATTAAAATTTTTCCTCTGGTGATGGAATAATCAATGTTTTAAGTTGTTTAATTAATTTTTTACATTTTGAGGCAGACGTAGCCTCTAAACAAGGTCAACTCCAATTGGAAGATTTTTATGCATATGAGGAATTAACAAAGACATTACAAATCGTCTATCGCTTTTAAAAATAAATTTTGTAAGTTTAAACATAAAATGACATTTATAATCCATTACATTAAATAACAATTTGGCTCAGAGCTCTAACTGTAGATATTTTTAAATCATTAACTACAGTGTAAAATTGAATTATTTTAAAAATAAAGAATTTTAAAATCTAGGAATTTTATATTAAACTAATGGTCCATCTTAGAATTAAAGAAATAATTTTTTAATATTATTTTTTCAAAATTTCTATTCAAACTTAATTTCTAAAAACATTTAGTATTATATTTCTAACTAGTATTTTCTTACCTCATCAAGAACCAGAATGTTACATTTGTCCATATGAGCAACATTCTTTTCCATTAAGTCTAAAATCCTTCCTGGTGTTGCAATGATTATATGTACTGAAATAAATTTATAAAAACCTTTTATTAGAAAAAAAAAACTATTTTAGCTACTAATATTTACTTTCTTAAAATTAAAATGTAATAATTCATTATGTATTTCTCTAGAAAAATATTGATTTATTATTAGCAATGTTAAAAGGATTAAGGTTTTATGGTATTTGTGAGAAGTTGTTTTTTAATCATTTTATAACTCCAGTTTCTTAATATTAAAACCTTTAAAATATTTATATAATAAATATATTTATATTCTACATATGAAAAACTTTATTTACAAGATTTTGTTATTTAATTCCACTAAATTTAAATTGTTTTTCTATCAATACACACATGTACACCATTTAGAAATAATGTCAAACATTTATTCCACATAAAACATTGCAATAGTGTTTTAATGTAGGAACTATTAGGTTATATATTATTAAAAATAATGCAAAAAATTTACATATCAGGCAATTTATAATCAAATAGTAATTAAATCATATAGAGATACAATTACTATATGAACTCATGAAATACACATTTAAATATGAGTGAGTGAGAGAGAATAGGTGAATGAAAACAGTGAGTACAAGCTCTTATTTTTTTACTGCACACACAAACTTAAAAATGGTATGAAGACTTAATTAAGCTATCAACTTGGATTTTCAGCCAGTTGATAGCTTAATTAAAGTCTTCATACCATTTTGAATGTTTGACATTATTTCTAAATGATGTACATATGTGTATTGATAGAAAAACAATTTAAATTTAGTGGAATTCAAACAATAAAATCTTGTAAATAAATGTTTTCATATATAGAATAAAAGTATACTTATATAATAAATATTTTAAAAGGTTCTATATTAAGAAATTGGAGTTACAAAATGATTAACACACAACTTCTCAACTTATTTGTCAAATATTTCCAATGTCTTGGGATCTGCACATTTGATTTATCCCTAAGACACATTGTGGATAACAGAAGAACAGCCAATCTTTATATCAGTTCACATGCCAAAAACATTTGACAACTTGTCTACAAAACACTACCATTTTCAGAATGAAGGTGTGCCAAAAATTGTGAAAATATTTGAAAGAGCATATACAACTTCCTCAGCCATTTGATTTCAATGCTCAGAGATTAAATTTTTTTCAACGATCCTGGTATATCAATACAAACAGTTCATCAAAACAAATATAGACTGATGCTATTAGTTTTTATTCACCTTTGATGTTTGAAGAGGTATGATGTTCTTGACATCTAAACTGAACAGATTTTTTACTAGGCAAATTTTTTGCATCTTTCACTTCACTTAACTAATGAACAATATAACACTGTGTAGTAAGAATTGTTGTCTTTCTTCTTATTCACTAATTCAGTTAAAAGTTCATAAAACCTGCTGTGTTACATCACTCATTCTGCTGCATTAAAAGCAAAACTTATGTAAACAAAAAAATCATATTAGACAACTTATTTGTCTACACTACTTATTTCGTGCCAAATTTATTTTAAGAAATCAAAGTAAAATCATTACAATGATACTTTCATCATCTTAATTTACATTTTTTAAGTATATTACAAAACAAGATACATATGAACACTTTTTTCACCCAAGCCTATTGGTAAGTCTGAAATGTCTACTTTTACCATCCAGTCATTTATTGGTAATTTCTAAAAGTTATCAGACTTTGAACTTTTACAGTAACACACACAAAACACCTATGTATTTGAAGTTGATTCCAAAAATTACTTGAGTTAAAATCTTAAAAATTTAAATGTAAATCATGATGTTTATTTGTTAATTTTTGTGGAGTTGATATCAACTGTTCTTCAAGGCTTTGCCATTAAAAAAGTTATATACAACTGACAGAAGCTATTTATGTCTGATATTCACATTACTGCAAATTTTAAAATTACTTTAATCTGGAAATAATTCATTCCAACCAACCACTATCAATTACCAAAGTTTTCTAAGAAAAAAAAATTTGAGGGCAATGTTTTGGACTGCAATGGGACCAAAAGGATTGAGTTAATAGTAAATAGTTTAAAATATCGAAAACTAGTTTATTCTTTTTTATCGCATATAAAGTAAATAATATTACAAAAAGAAAAAATCAAAGTATATAAGTGCGAAATAATATATATTTACAGAAAAAAAACATGTGCAGTCCAAACAAATTGTAAAATACTTAAATACTTTTAACACACAGATGTAAAAACTTTTAAGTAGGGGAGCATGTCTAATTACAGTGGGTTGTAAAATAAATAGCGGGGGAGGGGGTTGTAGTCTCCTATTCAAGGCCATACGACTTCCTGTATGCCATCCATATATTTTTCTTATCTTCGCTCTGCTGACTGTTATATAACGACCCTTTTATTTACATTATAATAAAATATTAAATATCAAATTTTCTCATTTTGGCGTGCCAATATGCAAAATATATTACGAGTGGCAGTTAACGTGTTTTAAATGGGACAGGAGGCAAGTTGATCCCTTTTAATTTTTTGAACAGATGAAATACATAAAATGTTTTTTTATTAATAAAGCAGAACAAATACTTTATTTTCTGTTAGTAAAAATACATTTTATAGGGATAGGAAGCCAGGAATTACTATGGACCAAAGTTTACTCTATGCCAGGGAAAAAATTTCAAATTTTTCCTCTCACAGCCATAACAACAACAAAAGCTTAAGTTATTTATTTTTAAACATATCCAAACAAAATAAAACAGTGAAATAACTGGGAGAAAATTTTGTTTTTTTATTTGATTTTATGACCAATTTTTAAATTTTTCTTAATACAAATATCAATTTTTAAGTACCTTCAACAGTATTAACTGGACAAAGGAAGGATGACACTTTTAGAGTTCAAAATATAAATTTGGAAAAAAATACAAAATTTCCTAATTGTTGTCATGGCAATAAATTTTATTGAATGTATTAATGAGGTTTGACTATAATTATATATATATATTAAGTGTTACCACCAGTCCGGTTTTCACCCAGACAGTCCAGGAATTAACTCACTGTCTGAATGAACTATTAATTTTGTTCGGGAATTTCGTAGAAATTGTGAAATTATGATGAAACAAAGTTCTTGCAGATATTTTTACAAATTTACACTATTTTAACAGCAAAAGAACTCACACTCACTGAAACTCATCTGCAATTCTGCCATGTTAGCCTGTTTATGCCAACATGTGGCATGCAACCTGTTGAGCTTTTTTTTCCTTGTACGATCGTACACATCTCCAATAGAGCAAAGTTATCTGTAAAAAAGTGTACCTGTTTTTTCTTAATTTAGGTTACTTACGTTACTCCTATACAAAGTCCCTAGTCCCTAACTAACTGATTTAGAACCGACATACACATTCTTCACATTGTAAAATGACATTGCGCATGCATCAGGAACTTCTGTTTGAACACCTGCCGTCCGGACAGCATAATAAATAAATTATACATATATATTATGCAAAACTTTTGAAACTTTTTCTTACACATAATTATAATGAAAATAAATAGGTATGATTAAATAAAATTCATTTTAAAAAATTTTGTTAGCTTACTACAAAAGCTGCATTGAAAAATTTTGTTTTTGCTAATTAGGTATTCATAGAGCACATTCACCAAATTTTAATGTGCCAATAAAATAAAATCAAACAAACTATAATTTACTATTTATGTGCATACAGCAGATATGCAACTCATGTAAAATCCACAACACTGTACTATGTATGTAACAAAGTACAATAAAATAATTATTGTAAAAAAATTTTATATATCCAGGATGAAATCTATATTTGAAAATATAAAAATATTATGTATGTAATATTATTATGTATATATCTTTAATGTATTTTTTAAAGTATTCTGAACTTCTTTTAAACAATTTACACAAATATAGGCAAGGAAGAGTCTATAAAAAGAGTTAATTCCACCAGTGTTGATTGTGAAACAACATTTAGACTTCAGACATTTTACTTCTTGTACAAATCTTTAAAAAGTGTAAAAAAATACAAAAACAGTAAACAAATTAGTTTATCATAAATTTATCCTATAGATATTAACTATATAAAAAAATTTTGTAGTAAATCTAATAGATACTATTTATTCCTAACATGTAAGATAATCTTTACTATTCAAGACCATTGAATAAAATTGTCAATAATTTTGTTTTTTCTGATTCCATGTTTCAATGACTTAAAATCCAGGGTCCCAATATAACCCTGAATTTATCTAGATGATTTCTTTCATTCTATGCTTATTCTATTTTCTCCCATTTTATTTCCACCATTGAGTTTTTGAACATCAAAGAATTTTGTACAGATATATTCAAGAACAAAATACTTAAGACAACAACAAAAAAATATTTTAGAGCTTTTCTGTCAAACATTTATTAGGAAAACCTATTAACCTGTCCTACGTTATTCCCGAAAATATTTGTATTGACCTCATTGACCTGCATGGGTGATCCCAAATATTTTTGTGTTTACATCGGAATGTTTTTTAAACATCAGAGGTTGCTACTTGTATGGTGTTTTGAAATAATTGACTCATATCAGAAGAACTGTTATGTTATCTAGTTTTTGTTCAGCAGGTTATCAAAATTCTAGGAATAGTTCTTTGTTAGAAGTCACAAAGAAAATTAGACCATTTCGTTTCTGTTTTTTGACATGGCAGCAAGTAGTAGAAACAGCACTCTAAATAAGTCAGAAGTTATCAAATATTTATTCAATTTAGGTTCTGATGAATCTAAATTTTCAGATAGCAACGATGATTACATACAAGATCAAAATGTAAGTGATGATAGTGGTGATTTTGATCCTGAATTACCATCTATGAGTGGATGTAGAGGCAGATCATGCTGCAGTACTCGAAGTAATACTGCTAAACGTCCATGATTTAGTAGTGACAACGGATGGACTCGTACAAATTTCAGATGTCCTCAAATGAACAGTTTTATGGGACCATCAGGAATACGATGCAATCTATGGAGTGATGCTACACTGTTCAAGTGTTTCAGTATATTCTTTGATGATGAACTTGTCGACAAGATTGTTACAGAAACGAACAGGTATGGTGATAGTTTGCTGAACTGTGGTGATTTACAAGAGAATAGTCGGATAAAAACTGGAAACTAATGACAAATCCAGAAATTAGAGAATTTCTAGGACTTATGATGGTCACAAGTATAATTAGAAAACTGCATTTGAGTATGTATTTTACAACTGAAGATCTTTTTTCAACACCCTTTTTTTCAAGTGCGATGTCGAGCAACCGCTTTCAATTTTTATTGTCCTGTCTGCATTTTACGGACAATAATCAAGCTTCAGGTGGTGATGAGTGACTGCATAAATTATGCAGTGTTATCGATCATTTACGCCACCAGTTCAAAAATGCATACCTCCCAGAGGAAAATATCTGTGTAGACGAAAGTCTTATGCTATGGAAAGGGAGATTGGGATTTAGACAATACACACTGAACAAGCGTGCTCATTTTGGAGTGAAAAGCTTCGAAATTTGTGAGTCACAAACAGAATGTGTTTGGGACCTTATGGTTTATACTGGAGCTACTACTGAATATGGAAATTTTGAAGGTGGGCAAGGAGAAAAGGTTGTGCTAACCTTATTAGAACCGTTGTTCGCTATATATCACAAGGTTTTTTTAGATAGGTTTTTCACTTCACTGACCTTAGCAAAAATGCTTCTAGACAAACATATTTATGTGGAACATTAAATAAAAATCGGATAGGAATGCCAAGTAATTTTCCTGGCATTAAATTGAAAGAAGGGGAATTTATCACCTGTCAGAAAGATGAATTGTCTGTTCTGTTAGAAAGACAAAAGGGATGTGGCAATTCTAAGTACAATGAGTGACAACAAATTCTCTGATTTGGGTAAATGTGACAGATCTGGGGAAGTAATAATGAAGCCAAATTGTATTTTGGATTATAATTGCAATATGGGTGGTATCGATCTGTGACGGAGTAATACACAATTATCCCTGCATGAGAAAAATGGTAAAATGGAACAAGAAAGTGTTTTTTCATATGATGGATATTACATTATATAATGCTTGTAATTTATATCGAAAACATATGAAAAAACAAATCATTTCTAGATTTTTGTATGTCTGTTAGAGAAGTGATAGAGAAGTATCATACAGACATCTAGCCCATCACAGTTGTCCAGCACATAAAAATCCGTTATGTTTATCCGAATGGCATTTTCCTAGTTTTATACCACCTACAGAAAAAAAATAAAAGCATCCATCCAGAGTATGTAAAGTATGTTTGGCTAACAAAAAACGTGCAGAATCACATTATCAATGTGTACAATGTAATGTTCCACTGTGTGTTGTACCTTGTTTTGAAATATATCACACTAAAATTAACTTTTAAAATAAAATTTTTTGTTTTTTACATTCCCTAATATGTCTATTTTGTGTGTAAGTAATTTGGAATAATACAATAGCCACAATTAATATTTTTCTAAATCATGTGATCGCGTTAGGCTTAACANATCACACTAAAATTAACTTTTAAAATAAAATTTTTTGTTTTTTACATTCCCTAATATGTCTATTTTGTGTGTAAGTAATTTGGAATAATACAATAGCCACAATTAATATTTTTCTAAATCATGTGATCGCGTTAGGCTTAACATCAAAAAATATTCAACGTGGAGCGACATGTGATGGAGAAAATATTCAACATCAAACAGGTTAACCATGTGAACAGTTAATTGAACAAAAAAATTAAAAAAGCAAATTACACAAATCTTCAGCTATTACATTGTGTGAATGTTTAAACATGCACCTTGAACAAATGACAATGTTCCAGCAAATGCATTAAAATAATGGGGAAAAAAGCAAAACAAATTCATGAATCAAATGGTCATAACTTTGTCTCAGCTTTTAAGTTACAATGGCAACTATAATCTGCTTCTGAAATGCCTTGTCAAAAAACTATGAAAAGTCTATAGAAAAATCTGATTGGTACAGTACATTCTACTTCATTTGCAAATGGCTTTCACACTTTGATTTTTGGGTCATCCTCACATTGAGTTGATCAAAATAATATGCAACATGTTCAAACTTGAACAAATTTAATGTGCTTTTGATGGCAACAAAACAGAGAAAATTATAAAATATGAATACCTTTCATACAGAACACCAGAAATCATGTAAAATATCAATTCTGATATTTCATATCAAATATTTCTATGCAAAAAAATCTCAATTCTTCCAAGACTTTGGTAATAAATTCAGAAGTCAGTAATCTTTTTTGAAAACTGATTTTTCAAAGTTGAAGAGGTGCATAAACCTTTAAGGACGACAGAATATGTTTACATTGCAATAAGATATTTTTCCCTCTGTTTTGTTCAATTATTATTGAACATTCTTTACAATGTTTTGAAAAACTACAAATTTATATTTACACTGCTTATGTATTTTTGCCATAAAATAAATTATACTGTTTGTCTTATTTTGTGGAAAGATTTTTAAGTAATTTCCTCTTTCTATACAAAATCCAAATTCAATTTGAATGAAAAAAGGCAATATCAGCAGTCTGATGTTATTGAAAACAATTACATTTATGTAAGATTAAACTAAAAAATAAAAATCTTAAGTTAAACCTTTTGATATTTTTCTAATTATTATTCATAATGTGTATGAAGTAGGTTGCAAGTAAACTCAATACTATATAAACTATATATAAACTCAATAGTATTAAAATACATTAGTTTTAATCAAGTAAGTTTTTGTTTAATGAATTAATATATTTACCATTCCCATAAATACGCATAATGTCATCCTTCAAATTTGTACCTCCAGTTGTCACCATGACTCTAGCATCAATATGTTTTGCTAATTCAATGCAAATCTGACTTGTCTGAAGTGCTAGTTCCCTAGTGGGAACAATTACAAGAGCTGAAAATAAAAATTAAGCTAATTAAATTAAAATTAAAAATTGTTAAAAAGTGTTTAATTTATGATGTCTAAAGTCAAAATAATTCATTGATCTTTGAAAGTCGATTTATGCTTCTAATTTTATCAAAATTACCTCAATTTTTGACAAATGTAAAATTTTATTTATCGATGTTCAAATAAAAAAACCTCATTGATTATATTATTGTGAATATATTTGAAGTTCTCGCATTAAAGTAAAATTTCTTTATACGTAAACAAGAAGATTTTGTATAAAAAGAAAAATCAGGAGGAAGAGGAGGAGAAAAAAAAATCCTGCCAAAATCAAGTGTGTTGAGAGATATGCATTAACAATTTCAGAATTATATATATATGTAAATTTATTATATAATTGAAAAGTCCAAAAATAATTCAAAATTATTACCTTGAATACTATTTTTTGAAGTATCCACCCGCTGTAAAATAGGAATGATGTAAGCACCAGTTTTGCCTGTACCGTTTTTGGCACGTGCAAGTATATCACGACCTAATAATGCTATAGGAATACTGGCTTCTTGGATAGGTGATGGCTTTTCCCATCCTTTTTCAAAAATTCCCATCAGTAATTCCCTCTTTAAACAAAAATCTTCAAATTCATTTCCTTTAGTATCAGTAACATCCTACAGAAAAAGATTGTTGTTATAAAATAAAATACAAAAATTTGATTTGAGAATTATTTTAAATTAAACTCAGATACATTAAGTCTTCATGTACAATATTCAGTAGCAGAACTGACTTAGGTTATCATCATATAAATCAATGAAATTTCACTATTAACTCCACAATGAATTAAAATTTAGGACATTTGTAACAGGATAAAATAATTCAAATCAATTTTTAATTTTATTTATTTTTTAAAATCTAATCCTAAATTCAATCTAATAAAAACAAGATAAATGATTTATAATGATAAATTGCTATTAAAAAAATTAAATTAAAACAAAAGTAATTAATATTACAATATATTTAAAGATTACAACACATTTAAAAGTAAAAATCAATTTTATCAACTGTTTATGGATAAACTTCTTTATTCAATTGTAGATAACTGTTTTAGTACTGGTATTTGATCTTATCAAAACTGATTACAAATACATTGATAACAGTAAGTTACAAATTATTTACATAAATCAAAATTACAAGAGCAATTGATAATTTGATCAGATGTATCAAAATCAGGATTGTAGAGTTGAGGTCTAAAGCAATTCTCAAATTAATGGAGACAGTAATATATGGACCATTTGACAATGGTCTTTGGAATGTCGAGCATGATCCCACTGACTATCCAAACACCATTGTCAAACTTCTAGGCTTACAGGAAAGCGGCACTGAATGTCCGACGTACACATTTTCGCATTTAAAACTTCGGCCTCACCCTCGCTATTGTGAAATCAAATTTTGACAAACAAATCTTCGAAAAAACCCATTTACCTTTCTGGTCACGACCTGCTGACTGACTGGTTGACCCAAGATATCTCATTTCAGCATTGAAACATTTCTGAAACTAGATGGCGCTAGTCATTATAATTTTAAATTAAAAGTAACATCCGAAATATAATTTTTTTTTGTTTTTACATTAATTAACATATTTCTTTTGTTTGTGCAAAATAAAAAAATTTCAGATGATACAATAGGCATGATTATTTTTTTTCAAAAACGGGAAATTTTCATTAGGCATCGACAAAAATTCAACCTGGGGCAACGCGCAAAGGACAAAAATTTCAACATTGGATAGGTTAATTTCACAAAAAATGCATCGTGGTCATGGCTGGTGAAGTATGAACAATTGTGTTGAGTCCTGAGTATCAGACAGTCTTGTCCCAAAAATCAGCCTTGCCATTTTACTTGTTTTAGAGTTAGTATAAATATAATTACTTATTAAAATTTTATTTTAACATATTTAAAATAATTAAATCTTCTGAAGTGATTTGATTAATTAATTAACTAATAACAACTCAAAGCCCGAGAAATGTACTATAAATCACCAAATGATCGCCTTAATATCGAGCTATAATATGGCTAATTAAATGATTAGTATAAAGTAATTTGACATTAGAGGTAGACGTTAGGCATCATCTCTTAAGTAAATTAGTAATTATAAATAAATAAATTTAGAACCTTCTGGAATAAAAGAACTGGCCCGCAACGGGGCTTGAACCTGCAACCTCCGCTTACCGTGCAGTGCGCTTGCCAGTTACACCATCCGGACCCCGAGCGAGTCTTCGCTTCCAGAAGTATATTAGATTAGATATAACCTTACTTGGTTAAGTACATCACTGACTGGGGACGACTCCATCACCCACGACCCCAACGGCACTCAGCCAGCTAACGTAATACCAGGCAAGGTATATATATAATAACAAAGTTTTATTTATATATATTTAACCAAGTAAGGTTTAGATATAACCTTACCTCGCCGGGTATTACGTTAGCTGGCTGAGTGCCATTGGGATCGTGGGTGATGGAGTCATCCCCAGTCAGTGATGTATTTAACCAAGTAAGGTTATATCTAATCTAATATACTTCTGGAAGCGAAGACTCGCTACGGGTCCAGGTGGCGTAACTGGCAAGCGCACCGCACGGTAAGCGGAGGTTGCGGGTTCAAGCCCCGTCCCGGGCCAGTTCTTTTATTCCAGAAGGTTCTAAATTTATTTAATTATTTATTTATTTATAATTATTAATTTACTTAAGAGATGGTGCCTAACGTCTACCTCTATTGTCAAATTACTTTATACTAATCATTTAATTAGCCATATTATAGCCCGATATTAAGGCGATCNCTTAAGAGATGGCACCTAATGTCTACCTCTAATGTCAAATTACTTTATACTAATCATTTAATTAGTCATATTATAGCCCGATATTAAGGCGATCGTTTGGTGATTTAATTAATTAACCTATGTTTTCAGGTCATATTTTATATTCAACAATTCTTTAGTCCTGAAGAGAGAACTGATACAAAAAGATGTTCCTGATTTTCTTTTATAGTGTAAGGTCCAGACCACACTAAACATTGTGGGGAATGTAACTAAAATAAAACTTTAAATTCAGGTGATATGCATTCTTTGCTTGAGGTTCGTGATGGTGAAGGAAATTCAATGTTATAAAATTTGTTTATCATGTTTCCTATTTGACATTTATGTAATGAAAGGAAAGTGATATTGATATAAAACTACTTGCCACATAATGATATATATGGACAGAAGTGAAAGATCAAGTACTTTCTCAGAGATGTAGCTGGGAATCTTGTGGACATATCCACTTCTTCTCTGAAAGGAAACACCATATTCTCTAATTTACAGGCTATTATTTGAGGAAGTGCAATTGAACATTTTGGGGAGAGTTGGTCCATATCAGGATGGAGGTAATACCTCCTTTGTAATCCAAATTCAGTCCCTAGCATCAGAGTAGGGACTAATCAGGGAGGAAGAAGCAGATCATTACAAATCAGAACTGGAATATCAGAAAAGGATTTTATAAAAATTTAGGAACTAGTGAAATATAAATTCACATAATTCATGTTCTGAAGGACATGAGTTACATCCCAGTTTTGAACAAAGCCAGAAGAAATGTGGTCTTCTCCCACCAGAGATCAACATCTTCCAGCATAAGCATTAACTCCAACAGAAAGACCAGCTGCAAAGATCAGTGTGCTATGATCAGTCTCTAACTAGATATCCACATTAATAGAGAGACCAGTTAAAACTTGGGTCTGCAGAGATCCTGCTGGAAGATGGGTGACCAGTATGTCATCTGGGAATCCAACAGGGAATCAGAATCTTTGAACTATTCTTTCAAACAACTATAATTATTTGTAAGGAATCTAATGTTATCCTCAATAAATGCAAATTTTGATTGTTAGCTGATGTAAGTCTCTCACCACCACTCCTATATGGCTCCATCCATGCCTAAAATACAAGAACAGCATATATAAATTAAAAAAAAAGCATAGGATAATATTTGTTAAAACAGATGAAAACTTTATCGTTAAATAATTTTATTCCTTTTGTTGGTTGCAGGTATAGCTGTGTGTGTTTTCATTACATACAACCAGTTTTTGAGAAAGTACATGTGATAATCTAAAGGCTAAAAACTATGCCTTTAACAAATTATGGTTCTAAAAAGTCTGATGTTAGCAGTGATGAAATGCCTTGTTTGTTGTGTTCTTTCAGTCAACATAAAAAAGTATATAGTTATTACATTTATTATTTAATTCCTGTATTAATATACACAGGAATTGGAGAATTGGAGTCAGAGTCAAAGCTTTTGTGTACAGACTCCACAACCTGGTCAAAATGTGAAAGAAAAACAAAACTTAATAAATATTACTCATATAAATGGAAACATGCACATTCCATTTATAGGTGCAGTATTTATATATTATTAAATTATACATATGCACACACAATTTTATAAAAATTTGTGTCAAAATATTAGAAAACTCAGTTTTGCTCTTCAACTTACATTAAAAAGCATGCTAATAGTTTCACAAATAATATGCACTTAGTAAAATATCTGACTGAAAATACTTTTAAAGTATTAGAATTCTTCTTCACTGCATGGAACAAATTAGAAAAACATTGCCAACAGTGATTATGCAAAAACAATGAAAAGTACAGAATATTAAAAAAAAAACAAAATATCCATTTACAGTAAAACCAGAGAAAATTTTGCTGGAACTATCCTCTGAAATGGTATGAAAAAATCATTTATCATGAAATATAACACTTGCAAAATACAAGTTTGTATATCCTTTTATTAAGGAAACTTTTATCACCACCAATCCAGGAAGAACTCATTAAACAAAAATAAGCAACTAAATCATATTGTTCAAATAAAAATTAACTTAAACTAATTACTGTAAGACCACTACCTAATTCTCTCATTTTCCTATACAATAGAATATCAATGCTGATCAAAATATATTAAACCAAATACAAAGTACTAAATTATTAAAATTTATATTTAATTACTAATTCATAAAAAAATTAATTTAAATGAATTAGACAATAAAATAACTAGTAAATGTAAATAAATTAATTTTTAGAAAACTGTTAAATTACAAAAAATAAAAATGTAAGAAAAACAACATAAGTATTTAGATATTCTTGGTCATGAAAATAAACAGGAATATCTAAATACTAACTAAAAATCATATAATTCATAACCAGCATATTCTGACTAATATTTTTATGCAATTTAAAATCAATCTACAAAAACCCAATCTAAAATTTATGAAATATTAAATCAATCTGATAAATTAGATCAATCTGATAAATTAGAATCTGATATTAAATCAATCTGATAAAGATAGATAAAACATTTACATGATTTGTGAAATGAACAGGAAAAAAACCAGAACAGTTAATGTGTGAATGAAAGTGTGTACACACATTTATTAGACATTTCTATTGTACCATGCAAAAATTAAAGCATTTATAACAAAAAAAACTAGTAAAGACATTAATTGACAAATGAAACTGGTTTGTCTTATGTCAAGTGAAATGTGATTAGTTACATTGCATAGTACAATTAAGAATGAGTTGGTTACATCATCCAGTATTTAGGTAGGTTTCAGATGCCTATAAGCATGGCCAAAGTTATTATGAATATGTCAAAGTTGACCAACAAAACAGTGATTCAATTTTTAACTGTGAAAGGGTGTCAGTCATTTGATACCCTTCAATGTGTTCTGTTTACGATGATTGTGTGTGTCAAAAACAATTACTAATTGGGCACAAATGTTTTGGGAAGGATACAAAAAAAAATCAAGATTTGCTACATACATGTCAAGCACACATTGTTGCAATAAACAAAGCCAACACCAATATTAAATTAATAAACTGTCAAAAGTCACAACTGAACTATCAGAACCAAACTGTCAAAAGTTTTCATTAACAAATGAATTCAACCTATCTTTTGGTATAGTACAAAAATTTTGTTAGAAATATGAAGTACAGGTAACCCCCGTATAACACGGCACTTCTATAGCACGGATTCACTCTGACACGGTTCGAGAAATGGGTAAAACCCTCGTACAACATGAAATGTAATAAATTTTTACATACTTAAGTACTAATACTTCACGAAAATAATAATTTTCGTGAAGTATTAGTACTTCAGTGTGTAAATTTTCTATTCTTGTCACCATACACATGGTCCTTTGTGAAAATTGTTTCAATTTTGTCAGATCTCGACGCTTCTGCTTCTGGTGTTGCCAGATGTTTTTCCCTTATTCCATAAGTGCTTAGCACCATATAAGGAAAATTATAAAGATCTTTTAACTAGAAGCAAGCAATCTAAAATTACATACACTTTTTGCAAAAGGTAAAGCATGAATCTGAAAATAATGCAGAAAAATGCTCAGAGGATAACGATAACTTGCCAAAAATAAAACGCTCTCGGTTAATAATGCTTTTAGTGATGACAAAGAAAACATTGTTTATATTAATATGTATCATTTAAGAAAATTTTAATAAAGATATTTATCTTAATTATGAAAATATAGTAGCATGTTTTTTAATTTTTGGAACCTAACCCTCCTTTTCGTACTAGTTCTTTGTTTCGCATAACACGGCAATTTTTTGGAATGTAACTACCGTGTTATACGGGGGTTACCTGTATAGGAAAGTGTGTTTCCAATGGCTACCTCAGATGCAGATATAAGGACCATAATGAACAACACATGGGTTCAAGTTTGGAATCCTTAATGCATTATCAATCAAAGGGTAATGATTTTCTTCTGCAAATAGCAACTAGTGATGAAACTTGGTGTCACTATTTTGAACTGTCTAGCAAGAGAAGCAACCCAGAACACTAAATTCAGAAAGCTAAAGACAAACTTACCAGTACAATAATTCTTACCAATTTGATTATGACCATGACCTTTGTTTCTAGAGTTTAAAGAACCTGGAGGTTAAAATCACGTCCTGCACAACATGCAGACATCTGACAATCTGTATAAAGCTGTATGGAATAAGTGACCAGAAGCTGTTGGAACTAATTTTTCTTCATCACAGTAGCCAACCACATTGTATTGGCAAAATTGTTCAGTGTGTGTTACCAAACAAAAAGGTTCTTGGTCATCCTGCTTAAAATTCTGATTGTCATCATGTAATTCATTTATTCAAACCAAAAGAAAATGCTAAAGGAGCAAAGATCCAAAGGCTTGGTAATTTCGATTCATTAAAGTAGTAGTAAAAATAGCTTTTTTGCATACAATATTCAATAAGTGTCCTCAAGCAGTAGGACACTTATGTACTTCTAACAAACCCTAGTGTATTCTTGCATCCTTAAGCATTGATCTTTCTGTTTCTATCACTATGTAATTTTTCATTCATATAAAATTTTTTCACTATTTGTTCACATCTCATTTTAAGAGTTAAATTTACAATGAATATATAAATTAAAAAGCTAGCCAAAATTTTAAAAACTAAAATAAATTTTTCTTAATATTTAATATATTAATTTTATTAAAAACACAAAATGCTAAAAAATTGACAGAACAAATATAGCATGCAAGAAAAACTGCTCTAAAAAGCAACTTCTAAAAAATACATACATAAATTTCCCAAGAAAAACTTTTTATAAATTATACATTACTGAATAAATTTCTATTTTATGTTCTCCTAATTTCAGCATATTATTCAGAGAAAAGTATAATAATTTTTAAATCTCTTTTTGTGTTACCATTTCTGGAAGACCAATTTTTCCCCCCTTTATCATCTTTCTTGATATAACAACATCAATATTTCAAAAGAATTCAATTTTAGAGAACACTTACTTTTATTTATTAAACTTAGCTTTTAATAGCTTCTATTTATCATAGAAGTATAAACTGAAACAAATCAAATGACTAGATATGATCAGATTACTTCATCTGAATTTAAAAATATGCTATATATAGTTAGTTATTCAGTTATCTCTAGATTTCTTTAGTTACAACTTTTAGTGAATAATTTTAAAAACTCAAACTAAACTCTCAACATTTATCGTGACATGATAATTCTGTATTAAAATGGAATTAGTTTTTAAAAAATTTCCACAGACACTTTTTTCTACTATTTATTGAAAGAATAAGTATATTTCTTCTAGAAGTTTTGAAGAAGCATTTATCATTAGGAGAAATTAATGCTAAAATATATTTTTAATTAAGAAAATCAGAACAATTTTCATTACATAAAATGTAACAAGTGTATAAAATTCTTTAAGAAAAATTTTAAATACTTACTGTTGTTTTCTTTCTTTTATCTCGAGGTGGAATTTTCAGTTTGGCTTTCCAACCCATATCATCACTAATAACATCTCTAAAAAATTTTAAATAAATATTCATAAAATATTTTGCATAATTTGAATTTAACAAATTCTTTACATAAGCTATTTTTAATTGTTAAATGAGAATAATTAATTAATTAATTATTATTATATGTACTGAGTGGCCAAAAAATTCAAGACACCCTCTAATAACAAGTTGGTCCACCTTTATCTCTGATTACAGCCAATATTCTTCTTGGCATGGACTCAACAAGTTGCTGATACTGTTGCTGAAGAATGTTGGCCGATGCTGACATAATGTCAGCTTTAAGTTGGGTCAAATTGGATGGTGGCATTTCCAAGTTTGAAGTGATCTTTCGACTTGTCCACAAAATGCTCCATAGGATTGAGGTCAGGGGATTGAGCTGGCCACGGAAGCAGGTTAAACACTGATTGATGTTCCTCAAACCAATTTGAGACCAATCGAGCACAGTGGCAAGATGCGTTGTCCAGCTGAAAGTGACCATCTCCATCAGGGAACATTACATCCATAAAGAAGTGTACGTGATCGGCAATGATGTTGAGGTAAGCTGAGCTATCCAGAGATGTGTTCACAAATATCAAGGAACTTAGTGTACTCCAGGAAAACATTCCCCAGACCATAATTCCACCGCCACCAACCTAAAGAGTTGTCATCTGGCAGGAAAAGTCCATGAATTTGTGCTGTTTGTGTAAGATGTCTGTGTATCACCGATTCCTTTTAATTGGATGTTTGTGTTTTTTAAACAGCTTTTTTTACCTCTGACGGCACGAAGCCTAAAAAGGAAGGCCTGTCGCCATAGATGTGTATGTGTAAAGTCTGGAATACAAAATAAATGGTGGTCCCTTTTGGACAGACTCGTCTTCGATGATTAATAATAATCTCAGCATCGGACAGAAAAAATCAACATAATAAATCCGTCATACAGTGGTTTTTAACTTTAGCAGCTGATTTTTATATCATCATGTAGAGTACATCAAGCACCTACAAGTACATGTAATTGACCTTTAGCATTTTTAAGCAAAACAATAAAGAAAAAAAAAATATTTTTCTCCATACATTTTATTTATTTGAAATTTTTCAAGTATGAAAATTAAATTTCTATGAAAACTTGTAGAACTAATGATGTTCAGCATTAAAAATTGTAAATAAAAATGTTGAAACTAGAACCCATATTTTAAACTTAGAAACCAATTTTGCATTGTATCACCCTCTATTGTGGCTGCATCAGCTAATGTTCAGAATGCGTTATGACTATCACCACAACGCATAGTGGTCATATATAATGAAAGCCACAATGCAAATTTTGCTTTGTGGATGATTTAGAGCGACCACATCGCATTGTGGACGTTTTTTCACTCAATGAGTGTTTTCATTCTTTAAGCCTAATATATAAACATGCATTCTAGATGGGATTTTGATCCTGAAAAATGTTTAATGGGATTTAAATCTGAATAAAAATGTGAACTTGCTTCTAGCATTACATTTTCATCTGGTGTCTCATGGAGTCATCTAGTTTGAGCAAGTGTTAATCATTTATATTTCATACAGTGATCCGAAACAAAAAGTAAATCTTGAATATATGATTTTGAATCTTTTGCAATCATCAGATAATTATATTTTTAGAAAGTAGAATATCTAAGCAAAAAATTTAGATTATAAAATGAGAGAATAATCTTTATATTATTTCATATTATTGTGTTGTTAAACAACACAACTGAATTTTTCACTAATATAAAATTATTGAATATTTCTATACTCACCTCACATTATTCTGATTCACAACTGAATTTGCTGCACTTTTCATTACTGGACTTGCTGGACTATGGTTAGTTGAGTTTACTAATGGTTCTGTATGAATAGATGCCATGATATACTCCAATAAATGGAATGGAAATAGCCACAAGGCCAAAAACTTGCTCGAAAACTGATTTGTACTTCAAATATACAATATCAACACCTGATATTTAAAAATACCTGTAAATAAAATTAAATATTTTTAATATTTTGAAAATAAAATTTAATAACTCAGTATCTAACATAAAATTTCCTGAAAATTTGAAATGGATATGCACACATGTACATATCAAGAAAGCAAAAAAGAATTTTTTTAAATTCCATTGAGTCTGATTTTATAATAAGAAATTACAATTATTTTGATTATTAAATTTTAACTTTATTTTGTCAAAAGATCTGCTTTCAGAATTAGCAATTACAATTGATAAAATATTTTTCAACTATTAGTTTGCTTAATTTTGATAATGCACAAATATTAATGCAATAAATTGAAATAGTGGTAATAAATGCCAATCAGGCTTTCTGTTGTAGTGCAACTTTTACTACATGGTGATATTTTAATCACAGTGGTAAAACAAATCACCAACTGGTGAAATAAACTCATGATAAATGGCATCTTTTCATTATATATATATATACACACACACTAAATTGAAGAAAAAACACAATTTTGAGAAATTTTTTTTATTAAATTATACACAAATATTTAGTACTCCATAATAAACTTAAGGTTTATGATGATAATTGTTTCTATTTTATTTCTAGGAGTCTACTAATGAATCTGAAAATTGGAAAGAAAGGTTGCCGAAATTTTATAATAAATCTGGCAGTAAACTGTGAATTNTTATAGGTGCAGTATTTATATATTATTAAATTATACACAAATATTTAGTACTCCATAATAAACTTAAGGTTTATGATGATAATTGTTTCTATTTTATTTCTAGGAGTCTACTAATGAATCTGAAAATTGGAAAGAAAGGTTGCCGAAATTTTATAATAAATCTGGCAGTAAACTGTGAATTTCTATTGTAACCATTCAATTCACTTAATCTTCACTTATGAGAAGACAATAAACAATATACTTACAAGAAATGGAAAAAGTAAACATATGTAAGTATTTTGAAAAATTATGCAATTTGTAGAATCATTGATTTTTCACAGTACCAGAACATTAAAAATTAGCCAGTTCCATCCAGTATAATAACTAATTGACATCAAAAAATTAATTACATAGTCAAACTTCAGGTTACTAACTTAATTCATTCTTAAAAGTACAAAAACCAATTTTTTCCTCAAAACAAATTTTTCCATAAGAAACAATTTAAAATGGATAAATTTGTTCCTGACCCACGAAGCAAAGCCTTACTTTACCTTTTTAGTTGTATTTCATGCATAAAATTGCCTACACATGCAATACAATAATATACAGTATAATATAATATATAGAAAATATCACAGTCAACAGAAACCAAAACTTTACAAAAAAAATGCTATAAACAGGAGACTCAAGTCTGCCGGGATGAAATATAACCAAATCAACAAGTATTTTATCCAGACTTTCAGAAATATGTTTCAATTGATTTTATTTTTAGTTTCAGTTTAAAACAACATATTAATAAATTTTTGTTATTTAATTTGAATTAAGCAGCTTTAAACACAAATTCATGGATGTTATTTATATTACATTAATGGCAATTAATATAGCTTTTATTTATTAATTTCATTTAAATCCAATTGTGACACATACCCCAAAAAACAGAATTAGATCTTACTCCCATGAGCACTGAAATATAATTTGAACATCATCATCATTGATAATTTGTGTTGTAACGTCTAATGATATGAGGCAATCTTGGCACCACTAACTTCTGAGTAAGTAGTCCTGTCATTGATTGGTTGGTTCATCGGGCTTTCTTTAACATAGGAAGTATAGGAAGTTGAGCATCGATGGACAACTCTGCTGAGTAGCATGTTTGGAAACTGAATTATCATACAGCAACCAGAGCAAATGTGGCATTCCAAATTTTGTTCGTAAACTGAATTGTTCTTAAACAGGGGCATTCATAACCCAAGGTTTGACTATTTTGTTGCCAGATGTAATTCAACCAACTATTTCAAATCAAAATCACACAAATTTGCTGCAAAAACTTATTACAAGGTAGTGTAATAATGCTTGCAAAGCTTCCTAAAAAAAAATAAAAATCAATATAAAGACAAGTAACAACTAAACACAGATGCAAGATGCACCAAACACAGGGACAAAACATGAAAGTGAGGCTAGCAAGTACTGAAAAATTGAGGAATCCTCATAGTGCATATTGAGCAGTTCTTCAGAGGACAAACTTTACAAATTTTAACATTTTATAATAAATGCATGTATATGTTATGGACTAACTAACATGTACAGTACATCATAAATAATGACAAACAAAATCAAGCCCTATAATAAATTTCACATTCTTTTATCATAATTTCTCACACTGTAGGTCAATATGAATACTGCTGTCATCTGTTGGGTAAAGTGACAACGATACCTTGAGGAGTGATTATTGACAGACACTAGACAGTCAGCCAAAATGACATTACAGAAGTTTCTTTTAATTATGTAATTTTGTTAACAATACTTTTTGTTAACATTAGCTTAATATAACTAATAATACAAACTGAAATATTTTTAAAAGTGAAATGATTACGAATTTTAATACACCTATATTACCTATGTAATATGAGTATGTTGTTCTTAAAATACTTTAAGAATTATTTATTTTTGTGAATTATTTCAATGAAAAAGTGGAGTGGTTCCCCCTTTAAAATCAAATTTCCCAAAGGGAATATAGCTTTATTTATGATGTCTGGTCAATTTAATATATTAATATTTAGCAGCTGTGCAGTCATTTTAATCATTACACATAATGGCCAGACATTACAAATAATAACCTATTAGTCAATTAGCCTGTAATATTTATAGCAGAAAATGATGAAATAGATCAACATAGGTAATGTCCAAAAATTTCTGGCCTAGTTTACTACAGGAAAATAAATTAATTTTTCAATATATTGTAGTCTCTTGTATGTCAACAATTCCTTACAACACTATTTTTATAAAGGTATAGAACTGTTAACAGTCGAAATCCTCTCTTCAAAATGTGCCATTACTACAGCAGACTGCAGTTCATCAATCTTAAATTCCCCCTCCTGTAAACCAATTTCAATTTTGAAAGCAATCACTGAAATCAGATCAAAGCTGTAAAGTGGATAATTTAGTTCCTTGAAACCACATTTTTGAATAGTAGCATTCACAATAATTGATTTGTACTTAAAAAACTGCATACATGGAACAAATTTACAATGTGATAACAAAATATCTTGAATTCTTGAATTTTGCCACCCATGAACCATTTAGTAGAGCCTATATATATCATGTCCCTATTACATCTATTATCCCTTAAAGGGACTATAGACTTTAGGCATCAGAGTCTATAGTGTTCCTTTAAGGGATAATATATATATAGGCTCTACTAACGGTATGTGGGTGGCAAAATTCAATAACATCAGGTGGATATTCATCACAGGAGAACCTCCACAGCCCTTGCTACTTATGTCACATATTCAGACATAGTGGCCGACTTTACTCAGGCCAATCTCCTCACTGTGCCTCTCAATGAACACCCCAAATGGTTAGAGGCTATGCACATCTTTAAATCCTCCATCAAAACCATGTACATAAATTTTAAAGAGGAGATTGTCTTGTCATTGGCCTGGCAAGAGTTGATTCCCAGCATGCTCTAACCACTTGTAGTATCCGGGCAGGCTGACTCTTTGCACATGCACGACAGTTTTTTTGTAAATCGTTTCAAACTTATGATTGAATGTTATTTAAACGGCATTAGTTAATTGAATATCCATCCAGGAATAGTTAAGAACCTGATGCAGAGCCCAGAAGGGGTTCAAAAACATTTGTTTTTTTGATATTTTTTGATGTTTCATTATCACACCATAAATTGGTTCCACAAACAGTTTTTTTTAAAGTAATTTTGATATGGTGAGTGGTTATCAATTTGTACACCAATGCTTTACCATGCAACAGCAACACTGCAAGACAGCTTACCTTATAGTTTCTTTAATGGAATTACTTGATGCAATAAAGTAGCATAATATTTTCTGGTAACAATGTTTTATTGCATTCATTAAAAAATCAATCAATAAGATCCCTTCAGAATCCTAAAATTCCTGATTATGATTTTCTTTTGAGATTTTTGTTACCTTTTCTTTCTTGTGCTTTCCAAAGCTAGGATGATGCCACTCCACCGATTCTCTTTTTGACAGAGGATCATGATTTTTTTAATCATGATCCTCTGTCAAACCGATTTAACTTTTCTCTATCTTCACAGAGATAAAACTCTACAACTCATTTGCTGTACCTTTTGAACTGAATTGAAGAAAAAAGTTTTAGCATCCATCTCTTATTGATCGTGTTCATACAATGATGTTCGTGTAGGACCCATAACACTATGGTGTTTGATATAACACATTTTGCTGTTAATGTTCTGACTTTTAGCTGCAGTCTTTGAAAACATTGATGTTTTCTTCATTAGCCATTTCAGTAGACCTTTCTTGTGGTTTGTTTTCAACAGAAACACTTCCTATTAGAAAAAGATAATGTTATCTTTCTCTAATAGTATAAATTGGCATGTACAACATTTAAATTTTATCACTAATCAGAATTGTTTTGTCCATTCTTTCACAATTGAATACGAAGAAGTAGCAGCTCCATAAACAGCATCAATACACTCTTTAACTGCCAATGGAAACTCCGCCCTTTCATTAAAATTTAAATCAAAGCTCAATATTAAACTTTAAAAACATTTTCAAAAATTCATTCCAATTAATGTTAAATCAACAATATCATCAAGTAACAAATTAATGAATTTCAACAAAATTTTTATTTGAATTCATAAATGAATCAAATTCTACACCAACAAAAAGAAAACAAAAATAAAACTTTGCATTATACCAAAAACTTATGGACTAACTTCCGACATATTTTATGAATTAAGAAAACTAAAAAAAAGTTCAGTTACATTTTCTATTAATCTAGCTTACACATGCTGCATGTGAAAATCTGGATTAGGACATAAAACTCCAAAAAGTCTAACTATTGATTCAAAACTCC